GGATTCCCTGGACTTTTTTCTTCTTCATAAAATGACCTTGGCTCTCAGGTCACCAGCCTTAAGTGTAAGAAATTGAATTATTGTTGTCACACACAGATAGGACAAGCAAGGGGCAGTAGGGGTTAGCACTGTTGTTTTTGGACCACGCCACATTCACATTGGGAGAGGGTAGGAACCGGAAAAGTGGCCTCACTTAGAGATTTCCTAATTCTATTTTTGGCACTCATTGTGCTTACACCCCCCCCCCACCCCCACAACCGTGTCTTACCTTTCTTCTCTCACCCCTTCTCTTTCCTTTGATCTTCTACTATTCTCCTTTCTCTCTCCATTCTTCCTCTCTTCCTTTCCTTGCCCTTTCTCCTGTCCCATCTCTTCTTTGTCTCCTCTACATCCTGTCTTTTCATTTTCTCTAGATTTCCTTACCCGCTCCCCTCTCTCATCCCCCCCCCCCATTTTTTACTGTTTTTTTTCTTTGATGTATCTTGTCTCCCTTCCTGCCCCTCTCTCTTAATCTGTGTTTGTCACTGCCTTCCTTACCCACCTCTCTCTCTCTCTCTTGCTTTATGTCTGTTTGCCTCCCTTCATCACTTCCTCTTTGTATACCTCCCTCCCATTCTCCTGCTCTGCCTTTTTTTCTCTTTCTTTGGTTCTCTCCCTCTGTCTGCTTGCCTCTCTATGCTGTCCCTTTGTCTCTCTCTCCTTTATGTCTACATCTCTCTCTGCTTGCATCTGCTTCTCACCCTGTCCGTTCTCTCTCCCTCTGTCTCCCTTCTTTCAACTCTTTGTCATATTTTCCTCCTTCCATATCTCTGTTTCGTTCCCTTTTTCCTTCTCTTTTCATCTGCCCATCTCTGTGTCTGCATTCCCTCTTTCTGTATTTGTCTCCCTCTCTGTCTTTCGCTGTCCCTTCCCCACTTTTCCTCATCATGTCTCCATCCCTCCCTCTCATTTTTTCCTCCTTCCCCAGACTTCTTTTCCTTCTTTTCTCTACCTTCATCTGTCCATCTTTACACTGTCTCTCCCAGCCTACCTCAGCATGTGTCTTCCTCTCTCTTCATGACTCTCTCTCTCTCTCTCCCCTAACCCTCTCAGGTACCAGGTCCAGAACAGACAGGACTTCAGTTTGCTGCCCTCTACCACCAAGCCCTAAAAAAAAATTTCAAACACTATATCAAGCTCAGGGGCCGACCAACACGAAGATGGGCACAGGATATGCGTGACTTCTTGAGTATAAAAAAGTACATGAGGCGGGAGAGCTGGTGAGAGACCGAGTTTTTTTTTGTCAGGACAAAGGAAATGCTACATGATGATGATATCTGTGCTGGTATACCAACACATGTGGCACAAATGAAGTACCTTGTGTGCTCAGTACACCCTTGAACAAGGCAAAAATCTTGTTTCAGTATTACACAGAGACAACCTTGGAAAAAACTAAGGAGACCTTGAAAAAGACCTTGAAAAGCCTTGAAATTGATTGGTAAATTTGGCTATGAACCCTGAACTGATATGATCTGATAGAATCACTAGTGAAGGGCTTGGCAGATAATTACAGTTATTGAAGTAAATCAAGAGGCGAGAAAAAGACATTGTTGAATTTAGATAGAACCCCAATTTGAGAAAACCTTATAGCAATATAATGTATTTACATTTGAACCCACATGGTGAAAGAAATAAAGGCACCCCCCCCCCCCCCCCAAAAAAAAAAAAAAAACACACACACACACATAGAAGGGAACTTGAAAATGAAGTTAAACAGATAAGGAGAACATAGGTGAGCAACAAATGATAGGAAGATTTAGCATGAGTTAGTTGTGGATATCTGGGAACATATGTAAAGTAAAGTAATGGACCCTTTCCATACCTTCAGGTGTATTGGGCAATCTGTGAACATGCCCATATAATGATACTACAGAATACCTTCCTGTGTGCAAACACAGAAGAGGCTTTGGCTTGAAAGTTAGTGTAATTCTTACAAATTTATTGTTATTATTATCATCAATGCTTTTTTATTCTAGGAAAAAAGTTGCTGGTACTAATCACAGAAGTGTCTTTTTAAAAAAAGGTGCTGGTACTCAGCGCAAAGTGTCTTTACTGTAAGACTGTGTAATGTTGCACCCAAAAAAAGTGCCCATACTGTGTAATGTTGCACCCAAAAAAGGTGCCCATACTGTGTAATGTTGCATCCAAAAAAGCACTGATTGTCCTCCTCATCATTGTTGTTATTATTAATATTATACCCCTTTTTCTCTTTTTAATAATCAGAAATGAGCAATTTCAGTAGAAAGAGGAAACATGCAGACAATGGCAATGGCCTGCAGATACCGCCACGTTGGCTACATTGTCCCAGAAAGGGACAAATTGTTCATGGTAGGTTGGTTGTAAGTTTCATGTTCGTAACTTCATTTGACATGACTAGAACCCCCCCCCCCCCCCCTTTTTTTTTTCTTCTGTAGAATCACGTCCCTGTGTGGGCTCCAATGCCCTGTTAAAAAATGGGAGGGGGTGGGGGGGGGGGGGAATAGACCTAGTGCTCCTTATCACTTTCAGTACCAAAGAACACACCCTACGTTCATTAGCCACTACAAAGGTAATATAACGTTTCAACTGTCTTCAATCACTTAGTTATACTAAACCTTTGTGTCTGAATTATTAGTTGAACTACTTCTGTCTCATTGTATCTTTGTTGAAACCCCCCAAGAACTTAATATTTACTGCTTTTAAGCATAACCTAGTGGAATAGGAGGAGTTAATTAACACCTTCTTGGGACTGAAAGAGATAAAATACATGTTGTAAAAGGTGACTAATGAGGTTTTGCTGAAATCAGATGACTTACAGATATCACAGTTAGACTACGACATGCCAGTCACCCTTTTAAGGGACGGTGCATAAGAACAGGAATTCACAGCGGAAAAGAAATAACTTGAAAGCAGAAAAAAATAGAGTGGGAGGCAGAGATGAAGGCTATTGGCCTGTAAGAGATAGCAGAGCATAGGAATGCTTGATGTATGATGTTTGATGCCATTTCCTTTGACTAATGTGGTTGCTACATTGACCAGAAATTATAATCAGTAATAAGGAAATTGAAAATGTGACCCTTCTGTTTGGATAACTTACACTGGGCTGTTTGTTTCTTTTTGTCCTGGTTATACATTTTAAATATCCCCTTTATTACAACTTATAACATCATTAGTTCTTTAAAGAACATCTAATTAACCCATAATCTTTAAAGTAAAAAAGAGAGTGGTCATTCTGAGGACATTCGCTGCATAGTTTAAAACAAGGGAGTGTGTTCAACAGAAGTCACAGTGAGACTAGCACCCGCATTTATTACTGGCCTGATGTGTTAATTTTGGCCTCTTTCAGTCATACCTGGCATCTGTGGTCTGGCCTGTTGGCATCATGGTGAAAACCAGATTGTGGGGATCCATGAAGGACATGTGTCGCACCAAAGCCTTTATCGGGCCCTGTGACCTTTTTGTTTGAAACCACTGGCAGAGAGAAAAAAAATAGCAGCTCATAGGTGTCAATGAATTGGTGTTGCCTGAGTGCATGAAACCTCTTGGCATTCTCTCAGTTTATATATTCCATTATCGCTCACAGTATCTACACTGTTGTGTAACATAAGCCTCCCAATCGGGAAAAGAAATTGAATTTGATTACAGTTTGAAACATGTGGCTTCTGGGGCTCCATCGTGGGGAAAACAAGAACAGACAGACTGCCTCCCCAACAAGCATGTCGTAGGAGTCAACTAATTGGAGGCTTCCTTAGAAGTCAAAATGCATCTGCCCAAGCGGCAATGTACAACCAGCTGCACACATGTAAGCCAGTAAAATAGATGTACATGCAAAACTCAGGCCCTGGCATAAAACCTAAATCCAGATGGATGAACAACCAGGACCTGGAGCTAACAGCCAGTGAACGAAGAAGAAGATTACAGAATGCATATTCTGAGCTAAGGCATTTTTGACATGTCAAGCACCGTGGTGGTCTGGAGAGAACGGTGATGGTCTGGAGAGAACGGTGATGGTCTGGAGAGAACGGTGATGGTCTGGAGAGAACGGTGATGGAGGGTATTCGGTAAAGCTTCCAGAAAATGAGACAGGGACTGACCTCTGCCAATGTGGGTACAGGACATTGAAGATGCATTGGATGTGCAAGCCCGCAGGCCTGGAGAATTGGCTAGAGAAGGGGAGACTTTCAGGCCTGGAGAATTGGCTAGAGAATTGGAGACTTTCAGGCCTGGAGAATTGGCTAGAGAAGGGGAGACTTTCAGGCCTGGAGAATTGGCTAGAGAAGGGGAGACTTTCAGGCCTGGAGAATTGGCTAGAGAAGGGGAGACTTTCAGGCCTGGAGAATTGGCTAGAGAAGGGGAGACTTTCAGGCCTGGAGAATTGGCTAGAGAAGGGGAGACTTTCAGGCCTGGAGAATTGGCTAGAGAAGGGGAGACTTTCAGGCCTGGAGAATTGGCTAGAGAATTGGAGACTTTCAGGCCTGGAGAATTGGCTAGAGAAGGGGAGACTTTCAGGCCTGGAGAATTGGCTAGAGAAGGGGAGACTTTCAGGCCTGGAGAATTGGCTAGAGAAGGGGAGACTTTCAGGCCTGGAGAATTTGCTAGAGAAGGGGAGACTTTCAGGCCTGGAGAATTGGCTAGAGAAGGGGAGACTTTCAGGCCTGGAGAATTGGCTAGAGAAGAGGAGACTTTCAGGCCTGGAGAATTGGCTAGAGAAGGGGAGACTTTCAGGCCTGGAGAATTGGCTAGAGAAGGGGAGACTTTCAGGCCTGCCAGGAACAGAGAGACGTCCTTTAAAGGACATATTGACTAATTGATGCTTATACTAGAATGTAAACTACTCTAAGTGGCTTCCTGTAAGTCTGGGTTAGACTTTTCACTATTTTAAATTTCGTGCAGTATCATGTGTAATAAATTACCATAATTAGGTAAGCAGTTAAGTTGTTTTAGTTTGAAACTACACATACGTATGTATTCTTGTCTGACAGAGAAATTCCTACCATTTAAGACACCCCTAGATTCCAAATATGATAGTGAGGTGCCTGAGGAAAGTCGGTTCAATATTGAGATGTTGTTCAATGCAGCAAAGACTATGAGAGTAAGTAGAAGTGTTTCAGTGAAGTCTTGGCAATTAATTCTGCTGTAAACGACACTTTATTCTTCTTCTTTTTTTTTTTCTATCTTATTTTTCTTCTTCATCTTCTATTTCTATTTCTTCTTCTTCTTCCTCTTCTTCTTCTGCATTTGCCCTTAAAGGGGTGGTTGACATGTTATAATGTGGTTTAAAGCTAGACTAGATATTCAGCAAAACCCTGTTTACCTGTCACCTGTTACGAGATGCTTGTATAGGGGCAGCTGGTCGGTCCATCCCCTCTATCATCTATATATATAAAAATCAATGTTTGTGTGTTTGTTTGGTCCCTATAGACTCGGAAACTACTGAACGGATTTAGCTGAAATTTTCAGGATATGTTTGTTTTGATACCGGATTTTGAACCATTGTGGTTTGAAATTCAACCTGTCACTGTTAGAGATAGGTGACCACAGTTTATGCCAAAATATTCGCAACTAATATTTATAACTTTAGTGATTTCTAATTATAGCCACGTTAGTAATTGCGCATGCGCCGTATTTACCATTCGCCGGCGAGTTACGTGCAGCCAACGCCTTCTCTAATACTAATACATAGAGTAGGTCGTGGTACAGCAAACAAGACTATCTCTATATTTGCCACAATAACCATATTAAACACGATTTCTATTTTCTGTTTTTTTTTTCAAACAACCTTCGGTTGGGGGGGGGGGGCAATCAAGGACTATCTCAACGTCGGCGCAGACAGTGACTGCGACATTAACTTCATTAACCGTGTTAGACACGTGCGATTTCTATTTTATTAATATATCTGGAGTATCTGTCTACGAGAAAACAATTGCCTGCGGTTTTGAATTGTGTTTTAATCGCGACACACTAGCAAGGCCCGCCGGTGTTTCGAAAAGTTTTCCACAGTTATCGCATAGGATTTCAGGACTGTTGTCAACATTTGTGTTTAGGCTTTTTTCCCCCCTCAGATGCTCAGCTCTTTTGCTTTATGCAATCATTTCTCTATTCAATCTCATTCCCTTCCTGATGTGCCCTCTCCACACAACACAGTCCATGGCATTTTTTTTTCACGAGTCCACCTAAATACCTGGACGACTTACTTTGTTATTCACAAGTACAGTTGTAGCTTTATTTCCGTCCCCTATAAAAATACAAACAGCTTTAGCATGTGATAACCACATAACCATTTTTGTTACTGTGCTAATAACACCATTTAAACGACCACTAATATAAAGACACAATTATAAAGTGCGTGTTCTAAAGTTGGAAAACCAGACTATCTCTGTATCTGTGCAGAGAATGATTGCGACATTAACTGTATTAGACACGTGCGATTTTCATTGTCCTTCTTTTCCAAAAACCTTTGATGAGGAAGATAGTAGTAGGTGGATTTAGTTGTGGTGGTGAGAGGGGGGGGGGCGGGGATCAAAGACTATCACTATATCTGAGCAGACAATGATTGTATTACACACGTGCGTTTTCTATTTTCTTTCATTTCCATTTAGCCAAACTATGCCACAGCAACGCTTGGCCGGGTACAGCTAGTCTAAAATAAAAATGAAAACCCCAGAACCCACAGTGTTAGCCACACTCTGTGACCAGCCAAACAGCCAGTAGTGGGCTGACCACAAGGGAAGCCACACTCTGTGACCAGCCAAAACAGCCAGTATTGAGCTGACCACAAGGATAGCCACACTCTGTAGACTAGTCAAAACAGCCAGTAGTGGGCTGACCACAAGGATAGCCACACTCTGTGACCAGCCAAAACAGCCAGTAGTGGGCTGACCACAAGGGAAGCCACACTCTGTGACCAGCCAAAACAGCCAGTATTGAGCTGACCACAAGGATAGCCACACTCTGTGACCAGCCAAAACAACCAGTAGTGGGCTGACCACAAGGATAGCCACACTCTGTGACCAGTCAAAAACAGCGGTAAATGGGCTGACCACTGACACTGAAAATGTTTTTTGTTTCAAAAAAATTTTGCCAATTCAGAATGACCGACGAGTTTTTCACTAGTTTTCAAATGAGACAGTGAAGGACATTCTGCGTAATTTCCAACTGGCACAGAAATGAGCATTTATGGGGCACGGATGTTGGAACCTTGACTATGATTGGTCAGTATTGGATACATAATGCTAGCTCCATTTTTACTTAACCTTATGAGTGCTTGGTGGATAATATGGTCAGCATCACACCTGTCCTTTGCTTTCCGGAACATTTCCTTATACCTCTTTTAGCTTGGGTCAACCTGGAAGCCTGGATTATCTGTTATAAAAACCTTTCTTAACACTCTGGAGACGGAGCCTTTTTAGAGTTTCAGTGCCAAAAAGACAAAACCTTCGGGAGGGGATTTTCACAGTTTATACACACACAAAATAAAGCGTTTAATTAACATATACAAAACTATATATATTCGTGTAGGAAATTGAATGAACTGACAGAATATTTATTAATCAAACTAAAATCTAAACATTTATTTAAATTCATTTTTCCGATATACATATTTAATTTATGCAAGCATATTTTTAAAACTTGGAAACAAACGTGACTAACCTAAAAAATGTGGGTGAATTTTTTGTGTGAATGAAGCTTGAATAAATCCTAACACTTGTGTTTTTGGGAAGTAAGGCCCTTGGAGGCCCTCCAGACACTTCTGGCTCATGGTTCTACTCATTTTCCTGCCGCCTCCAGCTATGTTTCGGTTGCTATGATGCAACAGTCCTTTTTGCCATTGTTGGGCACAGGTAACTACACAAATAAATGTATTTAAAATTACCGAACACCCGTCAATGAACAGCCCACATGTGCAAGAAATGCAAGAAACAATCTGATTAGCTGGTACGACAACCTGCTAGCCAATCTTAAGACTTGTATTAAATAGGACTGATTGATCCAATCTGATTAGCTGGTAAAACAACCTGCTAGCCAATCTTAAGACTTGTATTAAATAGGACTGATTGATCCAATCTAATTGGCTGGTAAGACAACCTGCCAGCCAATCTCATAGCTTGTATTACATAGGGCCGATTGATCGACCCAGTCGTCCTTTTGGTTAATTTGTATTGGGCCGATATTTCGGCTGTGTCGTCTCCAGAGGGTTAATGGAATGAATGAATTATACCTGCTCCCTCTCTCTCCTTCCAACAAAGAGTCGACATGCTAATAGTACCAGTTGAAACTTTGCATATGTTGCCCGCTTCAGAGTTTAATATCTTCCAGACTCTCTACAGCCTCCGCCACCCGCCCACCCACATTAAATTGGTCTTTAATATTAGTGAATAGATCATCTTATCTGTTCTGTTGTACTGTCTATTTGATCCCAGAGAACCTAACGGGGAATCAGTTGCACAACTACCAGTCTGGCAGAAAGCATCCTAGTCTCTGCGTTACCCTAGATCCCAATGAAAAATATTGAAAAGTACAAATCCAACATTTTTGTGTCATCAGTGTATTACTACAATTAAAGCTGCTATTTTTAGGACATTTGCTGAGAGAGAGTGAGCATCTGTGGATTTGCAAAGAGGGACATAGTGAAAATTTCTAAAATTATAATAATGAATATGATTAAAAATGACCCTCTTTATATTAGTGCTGCAGCAGGCCATGTGATGCCAGGCAGCACTCAGTAATGTGGTTAACACCTTGTTGGCCACCTTTTCTTCCCCGGACATTTCCATGTTAGGCTGGGAGCCAGGGTCAGTTTTGAAGGGGGGGGGGGGGGGAATGTGACTTGATGCACATTTAAACCAAAGATGTTCAGGTCAATGAATGTTATTTGATTACATTTATTTGTTTGAATTTTTGTTTGACAGAAAAAGATTGGAATGATTGTGAACCTGTGCAACACTGAACGATTTTATGACAAGCTGGAGGTGGAGAAAAGAGAGCCAGGCTGCAGCATTGTTCAGCTCAAGTGTAAAGGGTGAGATTGTTGTTGACTGTCAGTTTTGCCTTTCCAGCTTGTTGTTGATTGTCATTTCTGCCTTTCCAGCTTGTTGTTGACTGTCAGTTTTGCCTTTCCAGCTTGTTGTTGACTGTCAGTTCTGCCTTTCCAACTTGTTGTTGACTGTCATTTCTGCCTTTCCAGCTTGTTGTTGACTGTCATTTCTGCCTTTCCAGCTTGTTAACTGTAATTTCTGCCTTTCCAGCTTGTTGTTGACTGTCATTTCTGCCTTTCCAACTTGTTGTTGGCTGTCATTTCTGCCTTTCCAACTTGTTGTTGACTGTCATTTCTGCCTTTCCAGCTTGTTGACTGTAATTTCTGCCTTTCCAGCTTGTTGTTGACTGTCATTTCTGCCTATCCAACTTGTTGTTGGCTGTCATTTCTGCCTTTCCATCTTGTTGATTGTCATTTCTGCCTTTCCAACTTGTTGGCTGTCATTTCTGCCTTTCCAGCTTGTTGACTGTAATTTCTGCCTTTCCAGCTTGTTGTTGATTGTCATTTCTGCCTTTCCAACTTGTTGGCTGTCATTTCTGCCTTTTCAACTTGTTGTTGGCTGTCATTTCTGCCTTTTCAACTTGTTGTTGGCTGTCATTTCTGCCTTTTCACCTTGTTGACTGTAATTTCTGCCTTTCCAGCTTGTTGTTGATTGTCATTTTTGCCTTTCCAACTTGTTGGCTGTCATTTCTGCCTTTTCAACTTGTTGTTGGCTGTCATTTCTGCCTTTTCAACTTGTTGTTGGCTGTCATTTCTGCCTTTTCACCTTGTTGTTGACTGTCATTTCTGCCTTTTCATCTTGTTGTTGGCTGTCATCAATGGAGCTCTCACTGACTGTGTCACTTCAACTGGGAAAGTATTCTTCATGAAATTCTGACTCCTCCGAGTCTGAATCAACCAGAGTATTGATCACCTGTTGGACTGTGAAAAACCTAGACTTACTTTACTTTCCTGTTGAAGTGCTTGGTTCATAAGCCGCTCAATTCATTGTAAATTTTCAGAAATGTTTCATGTTAAACCACACAAAGTAAATCCAAACACTCGTGGACAGTCATTCGCAATGAGTAACTACAAGGTTTGATCACGATTAGTTGGTTATTTTTAGTTTGTGACGTGTTTTATCACTTAGTATGCAAAGTACAGAAAATTAGATACAGTGGTTTAGTGGCAGATTAGGAAATTACAGGAAAAGTGGTACAGTGATCTTGCAGAGTTAATACAATACAAGTGGCATGTGAACTTGCAAGGCCGCTACAAGCCAGATTTGGTCTGTGAGCTGCCACTTGAATAACCCTGCCCTAGAGTAATTCTAACAGTAGCATAATTGTCAGCAGGGTTCCCCAGGTTTGACCAGACAACTGGCAGCTGACCTGGCTAAACAGGACACAGAATAGACACTGCTTTCTAGTTTAAACTGGGAACTGGTCAAAGGCTAAAGAAGGCAGCATCACAAACATTGCTGGAAATTGGGTTTACTGGACAGTAGACTTGACAACATACTAGAAGTGTAAATTGTAGTTTTTCACAAATTGACCAACTCCTCGCACACAAAAGGCACTGTAACTCTTTCTCACCCAAACAACTCACCATGTGTTTCTTCTTCTTCGTGTTTCGGTTTCGTATGATCAGGTGAACAACAAAGGTCCTACTGCTGACATGTGAGTTCATAGAAGCAGCCCACCTGATGGTCTGACTTGAGCATATGAAACTGAACACAAAGAAGAAGCAAGAAGAATTATGCTCAGGTCAGACTGTCATGTGGGCTGCCTATATGAACTCACATGTCCGTTGCAGGTCCTCCATGGTTCCACATAGCTTGCTCTGCACACTTTGCTTTTGAAGCCAGGTTTCTTTTCTTAGGTTAGGTATACTGGGCAGGCCTGCAGAATGTGCTAAGCTGTCTGTGGTCGTGTGTGATATGCGTACGTTTGGGACTGTACAGTCTTTGTATTGCGCATGTTGTAGTTGAGCCTGCAGTGTCCTGTTCTTAGACGGAAAGTTGTTGTATGTTGTTCTCTGCTGAGTCTGCTGATGGGGTCTTGTGGATGTTAAGTGCCAGTGAATGTGTATGCTGTTTCTCCTTTGTTGTATGTTGTTCTCTGCTGAGTCTGCTGATGGGGTCTTGTGGATGTTAAGTGACAGTGAATGTGTATGCTGTTTCTCCTTTGTTGTATGTTGTTCTCTGCTGAGTCTGCTGATGGGGTCTTGTGGATGTTAAGTGACAGTGAATGTGTATGCTGTTTCTCCTTTGTTGGATGTTGTTCTCTGCTGAGTCTGCTGATGGGGTCTTGTGGATGTTAAGTGACAGTGAATGTGTATGCTGTTTCTCCTTTGTTGGATGTTGTTCTCTGCTGAGTCTGCTGATGGGGTCTTGTGGATGTTAAGTGACAGTGAATGTGTATGCTGTTTCTCCTTTGTTGGATGTTGTTCTCTGCTGAGTCTGCTGATGGGGTCTTGTGGATGTTAAGTGACAGTGAATGTGTATGCTGTTTCTCCTTTGTTGGATGTTGTTCTCTGCTGAGTCTGCTAATGGGGTCTTGTGGATGTTAAGTGACAGTGAATGTGTATGCTGTTTCTCCTTTGTTGTATGTTGTTCTCTGCTGAGTCTGCTAATGGGGTCTTGTGGATATTAAGTGACAGTGAATGTGTATGCTGTTTCTCCTTTGTTGGATGTTGTTCTCTGCTGAGTCTGCTGATGAGGTCTTGTGGATGTTAAGTGCCAGTGAATGTGTATGCTGTTTCTCCTTTGTTGTATGTTACTGGTACCATCAGAATTTTAACTCTTCGCTTGCTGCTGAAGCTGAGGATAGAGTGCTTATTGGAGTCTCCCGAGTGCTTTGAAGTTAGTTCTTAATTCAACATTCTTTGTAGGATTTGTGTGTAGGTCTGTCTGCCATCTAGTTTCCTGTATTCCACAGTCTGGCGCCAGGATCCACTGGAGAATGATTTGATTGTTTTCTGACAGTTGATTTAACTGACAGGATATTGTGTTTGAAAGTGGAGTCATTTGGAAGTGTGACAAAAATATCTATATAATACATTATTAACTCTTTGAGTCCCAAGGAACGCATCATGCTTTCATAGATTCCTACCTAGAGGCCAAATGAACGCATGATGTGCTAATTTTACGTCTCTCTCGACTACCCCTTGGGCCTGTGATGCTAAACCCCCTGGGACTCAAAGAGTTAATGTGATTAGTTGTTTCTTCCCAGTGGGTCAGATGATTGACCCCTGGCATGTGTTGTACGCTCTAGAACATTTCACTGGGCTCATGTCCCACGCTGGTCAGGACATTGACACATTGGTATCCGATTCCACCGTGATATAGATCACAATTGTCATGATACTATTGTTATTTCATTTGTATCCATGTTATTTGTACTCAGTACTTCACTTTTTGTTCAGTAATTAAATATTATTTTGTATAACACTGATTACATTTGTTGCCATTTCGTGAAGTTATTAGTAATGGCTAACTGAACATTTTGCAGTCGATCAGAGACACCAACAGTAGAACAGACAGAGGCCTTCGTTGATCTGTGTGACACATTTATCCGGAAGAAGCCACTAGAAATTATAGGTAAGATGACTAGAAAGTTGCTGTCAGTAGAATAAAAACACTCTTGGAGAAACACAGGTTGTCAGAAAAATAAGTGAAAAACTTTACACAAAAAAGATTTTCAATGTAAAAAAATGTTGCTTATTTAGTTTCTATCAATGTTTTGCCCTATATGATTTTATAAAAACACAAAATCAAACAACTCCTGGCTTATTCAAGTAGAGTTGTGCCATGTTTGTCTGTACTTGAACCTTTCCTGTGACCTATGACCTGATGTCTGTCACATATAAAACTCTGAAAATTGTGTTATTGTTGTACATTTTTTCTTAGGAAATAAAAATGTTGAAGGGGAAAGTTAGACTTTATGTACAAGGTTTAATCCCATCTGGCTATCTCTGCACTGTAGTGGCTGTCTGCCAGAAGTATCACACAAACTCTATAGTTTCAGCCAAAACTTATAGGGATCTATAAAAAAAAAATGCACTTTTCATTGAAACCTACAACCACTGGAAATCTCAGACTCGGCACTCATATAAATTAAACATGAGCCAAACAGCTGTTTGCCATGTCAGTAGACCTGAGAGACATTGAGTTGACATCTGTTTGCCATGTCAGTAGACCTGAGAGACATCAAGTTGACATCTGTTTGCCATGTCAGTAGACCTGAGAGACATCGAGCTGACATCTGTTTGCCATGTCAGTAGACCTGAGACATCGAGCTGACATCCCAGTTTATGGCCCGTCATGGATTAAGTGCTTGACAAAAAATTCCTGAAGAAGAAGAAGAAATTCACCACATTCAGAGGGTCAGGAAAACGGCTTGACAACTTAGCCATGGAGCCCCCTATAGCAGTTCTTTTTTTTGGGGGGTCAAGTTTCAGGCTCTTCAAGGTTTACTTGATAGCTCAGTTTTACCTTCATAAAGCCAACCTGCATTGTGAAGATGGTAAATATTTCTTTTTTTCCAGTAGCTTGCAGACGAGCACACGTTAATGAGTTCTCCTCCATTTCAGGTGTCCACTGTACACACGGGTTTAACAGAACTGGGTTCCTGATCGTAGCTTACCTTGTGGAGAAATTATCCTGGAGGTGGGTTCACATCATGCTTTCTGTATGTGTTACGTGTAATTAGTTATTCCAAGTTCCAACCTCACGGCAAATGGGTCACCCAATAATGGGTCTGTTCCTGTGGCAATGAAACCCACACACAAGGCCCATCACTGTCTCTTGTGAACAACAATTGAAATGTACTGCAGTCTCACAATGGTGATAGGAAGACAGAAGGACAATTTAGAAATACATTTAAAAAACAACACTTTGAGACACACAGGAATTTAAGTATTTGGGAGCAATTATCACATCCGACAGAAAACTGGACAGAGAAATTAACGAGATGTGCCAAAGCTTATCAATAATGGGACAATAATCTCCCCTGTTGACACATAAGCAATTACCCCGGAGTACTAAAGTGAATCTTATCAGAACTATTTTTTGGCCAACACTATGCTATTAGTGCCAAACAGGATACTTACATTCTTCAGTGAACGTAACATTGTGACAACAGAGATGAAATGCCTTAGAAGAGCTGCAGGAGTTTCAAGGAAAGACAGAATACGAAATCATGAAATCACTCGAATGCTAGGAATATATCCTGTCTTACAAGTTATCAAAGAACAACAAATGAAGTGGTTTGGACACCTAACAAGGATGCCCTGGTACTATCCGCCACAGCGAGCCACACTAAAACGTTACAACGGGTATAGAGCGAGTGGAAGACTTTGGAAAATATGGAGTGATGGCATTAAGAACAGCCTTACAGAAATGAACATCAGTCAATAGTGCTCTTGACTGAGCTTATCAGCGAATCTTACATCTCCCCCCGACACTTTGCAGAAGTACAATGTGGAAGAGAAGAAGAAGAAGACTGCAATCTCTGCAAAATCAACAACCTGAGCATACATTACCTACATGAGGAAGCTATCAGAATTGTCAACACAAACAGCCTGCTACTAGAATTGCAGTTCATCATCTGTGGAAGCAGCATTTACAAGAGATCAGCAGTTGCACCCACAGTATTGCATAAGACACCATCATTTCTCTAGGAAGTGGTCACAGGCCATTTTTTGAATCTGCATTCACAATACAAATGAGATTGTTCACAGTCAAAAAAACATTACAAATGAAATTAACAGCTCACAGTGTTGCACCATGGGTTAGTAACTGAGCAATGAACTGTTGTTGCATTTAGATTTTTTGTGTAGTTCAATATGTGTTATGTATAAAATGTTTTATAATTATGTATGTATAATATATATTTTACTGCATATTGTGTGTAACATATATTTTATAGTATATTATGCGTAACATAATAATAATAATAGTTTAATAATAATATGTCTAAGATATATTTCATAACAATTCCGGGGTCCCATTGGGCAATGCTTCTTAACAAGCAAGTTGAAAAAGGCAGTTAATGAGTTGCTTGAATTGGACGTGTTGGACAAGGCAGTTAATGAGTTGCTTGAATTGGTCGTGTTGGACAAGGCAGTTAATGAGTTGCTTGGACATGTTGGACAAGGCAGTTAATGAGTTGCTTGAATTGGACATGTTGGACAAGAGCCACAGATATCTTAGCCTAACTGTAAACCACAACACAGTAGGCCAACTGTCCTTTTATGGGTGCATACGGAAGAAGGACTGTTACATATTTTAAAACACAAAGATTGTTTTAAATTGTTTACGTGTAATATGTTTCATAATATAGATTTGGTAACACATATAGTGTTACAACAGTTTGTGTAACAGATTGTTAATAGTGTGTGTAACAGAGATTGTTTTATGGTGTAGTGCAGTGTAACTATATGCCTAGTAAATATTTGTTTTGTTTAGTGTTGTTTGCTGACAGTTGTGCAGATTTTGTTACAATATTCTCTGTCCATTTGTGTTTCTGTTTACAGCGTGGAGGCTGCTGTCAGAAAATTTGCTGAGGTAAACTGTTTGTAATTGTTGTTCGCCTGAATAATTTGGGTTTGAATAATCATCATTTAGATCTTTATAAGTGACTTGAGCTCCAGCTTAACCAAACCTGTAATGGAGACAAGGAAATGCACTGGGAAGTAAAGGTGGCTGGTGTCATGTTGACCTCATCATCCATCAGATGCGGATTCGTTTTTTTTTTCTGCTTTTCACCCCAATTCAGGGGCTGCAAGATTTGGTAGGGAGTTCCTTGGAAGTTCCTCTGACAGCCCTGTATTGAGAAAGAGTCACTTAATTGTGTACTTTTACTCTATTGTGAACTAAAGGTACCAGATGGAGGGGAGCAGTTGTGTTGTTACAAGTGGGCAGTGAGAAGTTGTTACCAAAGGGAGGGGGAAAGTTGTGTTGTTACCAGAGGGCAGTGAGAAGTTGTGTTGTTACCAGAGGCAGGTGAGAAGTTGTGTGGTTACCAGAGGGCAGTGAGAAGTTGTGTTGTTACCAGAGGGCAGTGAGAAGTTGTGTTGTTACCAGAGGCAGGTGAGAAGTTGTGTTGTTACCAGAGGGAGGGGGAAAGTTGTGTTGTTACCAGAGGTAGGCGAGAGAGAAGTTGTGTTGTTACCAGAGGGAGGCGAGAGAGAAGTTGTGTTATTACCAGAGGGAGGTGAGAGAGAAGTTGTGTTGTTACCAGAGGGAGAGTGAGAGAGAAGTTGTGTTGTTACCAGAGGGAGGCGAGAGAGAAGTTGTGTTATTACCAGAGGGAGGCGAGAGAGAAGTTGTGTTGTTACCAGAGGGAGGCGAGAGAGAAGTTGTGTTGTTACCAGAGGGAGAGTGAGAGAGAAGTTGTGTTGTTACCAGAGGGAGGCGAGAGAGAAGTTATGTTGTTACCAGAGGGAGGCGAGAGAGAAGTTATGTTGTTACCAGAGGGAAGCGAGAGAGAAGTTGTGTTGTTACCAGAGGGTGGGGAGAAGTGGTTTGTTACCGGGGGGGGGGGGGGGGGGGGGTGAGAAGTTGTTGTGTTGTTACCAGAGGCAGGTGAGATGTTGTGTTGTTACCAGAAGGAGGTGTAAAAGTTGTGTTTAAGATGCAGACAGCATATTCATTCGGAGTAAGTGTGTGAGTTCTGAAAGTGGGGAGTGCACGACTTTGGCACTGATTGTTGGCCATCCTCTCTGACCATGGCAAAGCTGGTAATCCTTGGCCAGCTTTGAAGCAGTCAGACTGGATGGCTCACGTAAAGGTGGAGACATATCTTCCTTGGTGGGAACTCTCAGCCTGGCAAACATCTTTGTAATGTTGCATTATTTCTTCAGCTTGTTTGATGTTAAAAGTGGCTTCAAATGAAAAATGAACGAAATCAAAAAGTAGTCAAAGTTTGTTGCTTATCCTTTATAAGACACTGTAAAGCCAGTCCAGTATGGATGGTACTAGGCAATTTTCCATTCAGTAGTTTGTTATTGCTCCTGAATGGTCAGCTCTGGATACCCTTGTCAAAATTAACGCAAGGCCTCTGCTGCCAGACACCTTTGAATTACGAAAGGCTTTCACAGTGCCTAAGCCACAAGTACTCACATGACTGCAGAAAGGAGTCAAGATAAATTGTTATCAAGCACGGACACATAAAGAGTAAACTGTGAGCATTAGGCATATATATGTTCATGTCAGTATAAAGTTCTGTTTGTGTCCACCTGAGTTTGTTATTTCTTTGTTGAGAAGACTTTAGCTTCATTTCCATGACCTCAATATTTGCTTCACTCATAAATTGCTGCCAATGTTGAAACCAGAGCTTCCTCTTGCAGGCTCGACCTCCAGGCATTTACAAACAAGACTATCTCAATGAGTTGTTTGAACGATATGGAGACAAGGAAGATACACCAGTGGCACCAGCTCTGCCTGCTTGGTGTACAGGTATTTTCTTACATGTCTGTCTGTAGATCTGACCAGACATTTACTTGTCTGTCTGTAGATCTGACCAGACATTTACTTGTCTGTAGATCTGACCAGACATTTACTTGTCTGTCTGTAGATCTGACCACACATTTACTTGTCTGTCTGTAGATCTGACCAGACATTTACTTGTCTGTCTGTAGATCTGACCAGACATTTACTTGTCTGTCTGTAGATCTGACCAGACATTTACTTGTCTGTAGATCTGACCACATATTTATATGTCTGTCTAGATCTGACCACACCTTTACTTGTCTGTCTGTAGATCTGACCACACATTTACATGTCTGTCTGTAGATCTGACCAGACATTTACTTGTCTGTAGATCAGACCACACATTTACTTGTCTGTCTGTAGATCTGACCACACATTTACATGTCTGTCTAGATCTGACCACACCTTTACATGTCTGTTTGTAGATCTGACCACACATTTACATGTCTGTTGTAGATGTGACCAGACATTTACTTGTCTGTCTGTAGATCTGACCACACATTTACTTGTCTGTCTGTAGATCTGACCAGACATATGCTCCTACCAACAGTTGTCATAAGTTATATTTTTATTGTAGCTTTTTTCAAAACAATTGTTACTCATTTTTATGACTAAATCTTAAGTGTAAATTATAAACAAATACAAAAAGATACAGCTCAGACATCCATTTTAGGAGGATATTCTGCGCTAAGTCAAGTGTGTGTACTACAGGTGTACTACAGGTGTACTGTTGTTGAAGGATGCCTGCACTGACAGCAGTAATTAATGTCTCAGTTTATGTTGCATTTGAGATTTTACAGCATTCTATGTCATACCATTTGTCCAGTACAGTGTATCAGGGCTGTGTTGTTGCTTTAGCTATACCCAGGACAGTGTTGTTGCTTTAGCTGTACCCAGGACAGTGTTGTTGCTTTAGCTGTACCCAGGACAGTGTTGTTGCTTTAGCTGTACCCAGGGCAGTGTTGTTGCTCTTAGCTGTACCCAGGGCGATGTTGTTGCTTTTAGCTGTACCCAGGGCAGTGTTGTTGCTTTTAGCTGTACCCAGGGCAGTGTTGTTGCTCTTAGCTGTACCCAGGGCGATGTTGTTGCTCTTAGCTGTACCCAGGGTGATGTTGTTGCTCTTAGCTGTACCCAGGGTGATGTTGTTGCTCTTAGCTGTACCCAGGGCAGTGTTGTTGCTCTTAGCTGTACCCAGGGCAGTGTTGTTGCTCTTAGCTGTACCCAGGGCGATGTTGTTGCTCTTAGCTGTACCCAGGATGGTGTTGTTGCTCTTAGCTGTACTCAGGGCAGTGTTGTTGCTCTTAGCTGTACCCAGGGCAGTGTTGTTGCTCTTAGCTGTACCCAGGGCAATGTTGTTGCTCTTAGCTGTACCCAGGGCAATGTTGTTGCTCTTAGCTGTACTCAGGGAAGTGTTGTTGCTCTTAGCTGTACTCAGGGAAGTGTTGTTGCTCTTAGTTGTACCCAGGGCAGTGCTGTTGCTCTTAGTTGTACCCAGGGCAGTGCTGTTGCTTTTAGCTGTACCCAGGACAGTGTTGTTGCTCTTAGCTGTACCCAGGACAGTGTTGTTGCTTTTAGCTGTACCCAGGACAGGGCTGTTGCTTTTAGCTGTACCCAGGGCAGTTCCATAGCCTGGAAATTGAGTTTTGGCAGGTTTTATCACAACAGAGTCACATTTGATCCTCCCTTCATTCATCTCAATGTTTGTTTTGTCCAAAGCGGAGGTCTTTGGTCAGTGTAAGAACCGCCCTTGGGCAGAAGTCCATCCTAGAGCATTAGTGTAGCTGTGACAGATTTGAACATATCATACACTTGTCATCCCTCTGTGTAACTTGTATCTGTTAAGAGTTGTTTGGTAACATTACACACCTCTCTTGATATATTGTACGTTAGAATTACTGTCATCTTTATACATGATTTCTCAGAGAGTGATGATACTGAAGTGGATGATGATGGCAACGAAGGCAGTGGATCGCAGACTAATGGGCAAGCAGGAGGCAAGAAGAGGAAGGAATTTATGAAAAAGGTTGGTATTTGTTTGTGATTGTAGAAAGTTTTTATCTGCACTTGTGTTTGCATGCTTAGGTTGAATTTCTATTGACTCCCTAAAGTTTCATAGTGCTGTTAACCTACTGACTACTACAATCACAACTTATGTGATCTGTCAACGTTTACGCCTTGCTACCACGATCCCATCCCCTGTGATCGTAACTTTGGGTTAGTGGATCTGTTCCTCTCTCCACTCCAAAATGGGACCCTGGAACCCGCACGGGGACTTTTGTTCAGCCCCTTTCAATAGTACCAGTTTGAAATTAGAGCTAAAAAATTTTAGTTTTTAATTTAGTACTAGTTTTAATTAAGTTTGACTTACACATATTTCCTAGAGTTGTGAAAATGTTGAACTCTTAAAATCCTGTTCCTGGACTTGCAGATGGTGCAGCCCAACAGAGAGCAATTAAACACTCAAAAACTGAACAAAAGATAGTTGAAGATGACTGTATTGTTGCCTGTGATGTTGAATCATGTCTCAGAGAATTCATTCCTTTTTCAGGATGCAAAGTTCGTAGATGGGGTCAAAGGTGTTACCAGGGTCACGACCCAACCAAGGTTATCTCACATACAACAGAAGTGTCAGAGTATGGCAGGCTGGAAAAAGTGAGTCAGATATTTTGCCATTCTATACACCTTTTTTTTCAGTTTACCTAGCTAGTTTGGAATGTACCTTATTACTGGCCGTCCAGAATTCAGTTTTGTACAAACTAGCTACTTTACTGCCCATCCTTGGCAGAAACATGCAGACCAGAATGTTTAGACAGAACAGGACTTGAAGCACACCTTTACTGGATGAATCTCACTCACCTTTACTGGATGAATCTCACTCACCTTTACTGGATGAATCTCACTCACCTTTACTGGATGAATTTCACTCACCTTTACTGGATGAATCTCACTCACCTTTACTGGATGAATTTCACTCACCTTTACTGGATTAATCTCACTCACCTTTACTGGATGAACCTCACTCACCTTTACTGGATGAACCTCACTCACCTTTACTGGATGAACCTCACTCACTGATTGCCTTACAGACTGGATGTTTAGACAGAACGGGACTTGAAGCACACCTTTACTGGATGAATCTCACTCACCTTTACTGGATGAATTTCACTCACCTTTACTGGATGAATCTCACTCACCTTTACTGGATGAATCTCACTCACCTTTACTGGATGAATCTCACTCACCTTTACTGGATGAATCTCACTCACCTTTACTGGATGAATCTCACTCACCTTTACTGGATGAATCTCACTCAATGAATCTCACTCACCTTTACTGGATGAACCTCACTCACCTTTACTGGATGAATCTCACTCACCTTTACTGGATGAATCTCACTCACCTTTACTGGATGAATCTCACTCACCTTTACTGGATGAATTTCACTCACCTTTACTGGATTAATCTCACTCACCTTTACTGGATGAACCTCACTCACCTTTACTGGATGAACCTCACTCACCTTTACTGGATGAACCTCACTCACTGATTGCCTTACAGACCGGATGTTTAGACAGAACGGGACTTAAAGCACACCTTTACTGGATGAATCTCATTCACCTTTACTGGATGAATTTCACTCACCTTTACTGGATGAAATTTACTCACCTTTACTGGATGAATCTCACTCACCTTTACTGGATGAATCTCACTCACCTTTACTGGATGAATCTCACTCACCTTTACTGGATGAATCTCACTCACCTTTACTGGATGAATCTCACTCACCTTTACTGGATGAATCTCACTCACCTTTACTGGATGAATCTCACTCACCTTTACTGGATGAATCTCACTCACTGATTGCCTTACAGACCGGATGTTTAGACAGAACGGGACTTGAAGCACACCTTTACTGGATGAATCTCACTCACCTTTACTGGATGAATTTCACTCACCTTTACTGGATGAATCTCACTCACCTTTACTGGATGAATCTCACTCACCTTTACTGGATGAATCTCACTCACCTTTACTGGATGAATCTCACTCACCTTTACTGGATGAATCTCACTCACCTTTACTGGATGAATCTCACTCACCTTTACTGGATGAATCTCACTCACCTTTACTGGATGAATCTCACTCACCTTTACTGGATGAATTTCACTCACCTTTACTGGATGAACCTCACTCACCTTTACTGAATGAATCTCGCGCCTAACAGAATATGGGCAAAGCAAATGTTTATAAATTATAGTGAATCAAGAGGTGAGGGAAAGATGCTGGAAAGATGTTGGGTAGGACACACATTGAGAAAACCTGAGACAAATATAACCATAGTGTCTTTACAGTGGAACCCACAGGGGCAGAACAAAATAAAATGAAGGGAACTAAAGAGTGAGGTAAAAAAATGGGTAGGGCATGGGGTGAGTTGCATTTGATATCAAAAGATAGGACAACTTGGCCTGAGTTGGTTGAGGGCCTGTACTGCATGAGTTTAATTATACGTACATAGATTGCACTTTTGTGTTTTATGTATAATTTGTATAACCTATTTGATTAAAAATAGTGTTTACAAATGTTAATTTGACTTGTGAACAATTCACTTATGACCTGTTGGAATGGAACTTGGTCATAAGTCAAGGTGATCCATCCCATCCACACAAACACACCAGTAATTGCTGCCAGATACCTTGAATTTCCTCATATTGTCTGCCTTGCACTATTCCTCCCCGTCATCAGTTCGGGCTTCCCAGGGTCTCAGCCTGTCTCCCTGGACATCAACAATCTCAGATTCCTCACACAGAAGCCCTACAAAGTCAGTTGGAAAGCAGATGGTACCAGGTGAGTCACCTGAATCTCCTTGACTCACAAGTCAGTATTTTACCATTTCTTTATAACTCATTTTCAAATGTCTTTATAACTCATTTACAATTTCTGTATAACTCCATTAGGGTTTCTTTAAACTCATTTACTGTTTCTTTATAACTGATTTACTATTTCTTTATAATTGATTTACTATTTCTTTATAACTGATTTACTATTTCTTTATAACACATTTACTATTTCTTTATAACACATTTACTATTTCTTTATAACTTATTTACTATTTCTTTAGAACTCATTTACAATTTCTTTATAACTTATTTACTATTTCTTTATAACTCATTTACAATTTCTTTATAACTCATTTACTATTTCTTTATAACGCATTTACTATTTCTTTATAACTCATTTACTATTTCTTTAGATCTCATTTACAATTTCTTTATAACTCATTAACTTTTTTTATAACTCATTTACAGTTTCTTTATAACTCATTTACAGTTTCTTTATAACTCATTTACAGTTTCTTTATAACTGATGTTATCTGAATTTTTCTTGGCATGCAGATCACTCGTGACTATTTTGAAATTACCTGGTTTTGTTGTTGTTGTTAATTTTGAAGTTTGATGTATTCACCTGAACTGGGGTAAAGTAGTCAGTCTTACAACAACCCTGCCCTCTCACAACACCTAACTGGGGTAAAGTAGTCAGTCTTACAACAACCCTGCCCTCTCACAACACCTAACTGGGGTAAAGTAGTCAGTCTTACAACAACCCTGCCCTCTCACACACCTAACTGTGATAGTCAGTCTTACAACAACCCTGCCCTCTCACAACACCTGAACTGGGGTAAAGTAGTCAGTCTCACAACAACCCTGCCCTCTCACAACACCTAACTGGGGTAAAGTAGTCAGTCTTACAACAACCCTGCCCTCTCACACACCTAACTGTGATAGTCAGTCTTACAACAACCCTGCCCTCTCACAACACCTGAACTGGGGTAAAGTAGTCAGTCTCACAACAACCCTGCCCTCCCACAACACCTAACTGGGGTAAAGTAGTCAGTCTTACAACAACCCTGCCCTCTCACAACATGCATGATAGGTTCTTCTACATCTAGTCCTTGCTGTCATCATCATTGTCCCGTTATGTCATTACCTGTCACATAGGGCTTACATTTTGTTCATAAGTGACTAGTAAGGATCATCATCACAGCACTCCGGACAGATCCGCAGGTGCTGCAGTCTCCTCCTCATAAGCTCTACAGTGTAAAATAACTAATGACGCCTGTTCTGTGTTGATTAATGAAACGTCTTGCCCTGTTAGTGAAATGTTCATTTCTTGCAGCTCCAGGCTATTTGTCCATTCCTCCATGCTGTGTTTGGTAATTATGTCTGTACAGTCTTTTGTCTTGTGTAATGTCAGTCGTCCGTGTACATATATTCTCCGTGCTGTGTTTGGTAATGATGTCTGTACACAGTCTTTTGTCTTGTGTAATTTCAGTCGTCCATGAACATATATTCTCCATGCTGTGTTTCGTAATGATGTCTGTACAGTCTTTTGTCTTGTGTAATGTCAGTCGTCCATGTACATGTATTCTCCGTGCTGTGTTTCGTAATGATGTCTGTACAGTCTTGTGTAATGTCAGTCGTCCATGTACATGTATTCTCCGTGCTGTGTTTCGTAATGATGTCTGTACACAGTCTTCTATCATGTGTAATGTCAGTCGTCCGTGTACTTATATTCTCCGTGCTGTGATACCTGACTGTTCTTTGTTTGAGATCTGGTGTTTCTTCTTATTTTAGGATGTGACCTTTTATTCTTTCTGTTGTTCTACCTGCTAATAGTTTTCAGATGAGGTCATATGCTTCTGTGAAGGATGTGATACAACCCTCCATTGATCCATACATCTTGGTTTCTACGGAATGCCAACTGGCCAAACTTCAGATCTTTCTACTGCATGTGTAGAACATGTCTGCAGTACATGTATTCTGGGGGTGTCTGGAAACACGGGCAAAGTTCTGAGTCCCCAGTCTTGAATTTATTTGACATATGGCTGCAGAATCTGTTATGTCCAGTTTGCAACCTAAATATACCACTCTGTTTCTGTTGTGCGAGGATGTTGATTTGGTCTGCAAGGATGTGATCAGATCACAGGAGTCTTTGTCTTTTGTTTGTTTTCAGAAGTCTTCATTGTTCTTTTAAATTTATTAGACCTTCATGTTTAAATGTGACAGAGCTTGGTGTAATCGTTAGAGGTAGCTATGTGCAGGACTCATGATCCAGTACAAAGTGGGATAAATGACCCGCTGGGACACTTGTCTGTTGGCAGGTACATGATGCTGGTAGATGGCAAAGATGAAGTGTACATGATTGACAGGGACAACTGTGTCTTCCACGTGCCTAACCTCAACTTCTTCAAGAGGAAAAATCTCTCAGCTTATCTCGCAGAAACTCTCTTAGATGGAGTAAGTGTTTTTTTTTTTTTTTTGTGGTTTTTTTAAAACAGTTTCTCTATGTTAAAATGGAGTCAACATAAGCTTGGCACAGGGGTTAGCCTAGCAACCCAGTGATGCATTGTCGTCATTCATCAAAAGCTTTGCTGGCTGGCAAAGGGGGGGGGGGGGGGGGCTAAGTGGTCTCAAGGTATGGTATCTGCCTCGAGTGCTGGAAGTCCCAGGTTCACATCCCGGAGAAGTCAGATATTTTTTTCACGTGGATTTCTAGTAATTTCCCCAGGTCTCTGGGTAGTAAGATAGGACGCCCATGTGTTTTGTTGAGCGTGTTAAAAATACTTGGCAGTTGGAAATCAAAAAAGAGTAGCCTAACTGCACTGCTCGGGCACAATTTTGAGTTAGAAACCTACCCAAAGTATTTCAGGATCCTCGCCGGTATAATGTAGTTCATGCACTGTCCTGAGTTTCTTCAGACTCAGACTTGAGTTAGAAGTAAAACAGAGCACTTATGGGTTACGCCCGAGTGCCGTGATGTTGATCCATTGAATAAACCATAATCAGCTTTTCCACAACCTGCCATCTCCAACAGCATGTATCATTCATTTCCCATGCTGACACCCATCCATTCCAGGACAGAAGTCTGTCAGGAATCTTCAACTGCCGTCTTCCTCGGTCTCTCTTTACACAGATCTTTCCTGTGGTCACATGTTTAAGTCTTTTTTGAACTGTTTTTTTTTGTGTGTTTGTTTTATTAACATGAGCTGCTAGGCCGACCTTGGCTTGAATGGGTCCTAGGAATTTTTCAGGGAAGTAAATCTGCCAGTCTGATACAACCACATCCTCTGTAGGGCACCGTTGAGTTACAATATGAGACTTGATAATTGCATTACACAGAGGCAAGGTTTTTCAGGAATGTTATAAGGTAAAATAAACCAAATTTAGTGACGTTTACCAAACTTGCTGGAGAAAAGAAATATGAAACGAAAGACATAAGAGATAAATATCTGGGTGTTTTGGCCACACAGTATAACTGAGTCCTGAATACAGGCCTGGTCTAAGACTGTTGTCATGTCAGATGATGATTCATGACCAGACATGATGGTGCTGATATGAAGAAATACATGGATGAGTTGCCTGATTGTCCTCCTCCCCCCCCCCCCCACCCTCCCCCACATTGTGGAATATATATTTGACTTTTACCAAGACTCTTTTTGGCTTTAAAATCCTGGCATCCCTTCCTAAGTTCTGGGGCCCCAGTTTGGGTGAAAAGAAGACTAGACCCACTACTCCCTCTTTTCCCCTGTACGTAGAAGTAAATAAAACATGTTTTTCATGCCATTGTCTCATCAGGCGTATGTGCAAGATCCATAATTTTTGTTTGAGAAACATCTGCACGTAATGAGTGGCCCTCTTTACTTCCCAGGAAATTTCCTGCTTCCCATGCAAGGTTGGGCAGATCTTGGAGGTCTAGATCAGTTTTCTGTTAAATAATTTAAACCACCTAGGAACAAGTGTACTTCAACACATGACAGCTCGACACCCCTTAAAAAAGTGTTATTTTAAACTAGGTATGTCGTAGAGCTGGAACCCAGAAGCACGAAATATGGGCAGAATTCATTTCAAACCATCGAAATAGCACCATAGGTTACATAAATTTGTGTTAATCAAGTTTAGATCAAATAAAAAACACATCAGACAGAGATGCTGTGTCTTGTATACAGTCTAGTTTCCAGATCTTATGTAAGGATATATTTATCTGTTGTTTGTATTGTCTAAACTCATGTTGTATGTATCTATACAGTCTAGTTTCCAGATCTTATGTAAGGATATATTTATCTGTTGTTTGTATTGTCTAAACTCATGTTGTATGTATCTATACAGTCTAGTTTCCAGATCTTATGTAAGGATATATTTATCTGTTGTTTGTATTGTCCTAAACTCATGTTGTATGTATCTATACAGTCTAGTTTCCAGATCTTATGTAAGGATATATTTATCTGTTGTTTGTATTGTCTAAACTCATGTTGTATGTATCTATACAGTCTAGTTTCCAGATCTTATGTAAGGATATATTTATCTGTTGTTTGTATTGTCTAAACTCATGTTGTATGTATCTATACAGTCTAGTTTCCAGATCTTATGTAAGGATATATTTATCTGTTGTTTGAATTGTCTAAACTCATGTTGTATGTATCTATACAGTCTAGTTTCCAGATCTTATGTAAGGATATATTTATCTGTTGTTTGTATTGTCTAAACTCATGTTGTATGTATCTATACAGTCTAGTTTCCAGATCTTATGTAAGGATATATTTATCTGTTGTTTGTATTGTCTAAACTCATGTTGTATGTATCTATACAGTCTAGTTTCCAGATCTTATGTAAGGATATATTTATCTGTTGTTTGTATTGTCTAAACTCATGTTGTATGTCTCTGGTAGGAGCTGATCATTGACAAAGTTGATGGACAAGACATCCCCAGATTCTTGGTCTATGACATCATCAAATTTGAAGTAAGACTTTTTATTGTGAATGTTTAAAGAAAAAAACATAATTAACACAATGTCTAGTTCAGCGTTTGTTTCACATATATTCCAATACGGGTCATAAACAGGCCGAGGTGCTTGAGGTCATCTCTGGTGTCCTGTAGTGTAGGGTGGCACTTGTGGGCTGACATAGTCCAGGAAGTCCTGTGAGACATGCTGTGGAGTCTGTTTAGGTGCACTGCAGGCACACACTGCACAGTTAGCAAGACTCAGTCAGTGTACGTCTGCTCTGAGTTCACAGTGTCCCATGTCTGAGTCTGAAACTTTTGGTCCGGGTTTTTCTGCCAAGCATGTTGATTCTGTGCACACTACTTAGGAAATTGCACTTTGACCTCTTGGTAAGCAGCTACACTTAATTAAGGGACCCCTACCCTCGCATGATTTTAATTCATTATGGGAAAACATTGTTTTGATAATCCAACATCGTATACCAGGTTTTGATAATCCAACATCGTATACCAGGTTTTGATAATCCAACATCGTATACCAGGTTTTGATAATCTAACATCGTATACCAGGTTTTGATAATCTAACATCGTATACCAGGTTTTGATAATCTAACATCGTATACCAGGTTTTGATAATCTAACATCGTATACCAGGTTTTGATAATCTAACATCGTTTACCAGGTTTTGATAATCTAACATCGTATACCAGGTTTTGATAATCTAACATCGTATACCAGGTTTTGATAATCTAACATCGTATACCAGGTTTTGATAATCTAACATCGTATACCAGGTTTTGATAATCTAACATCGTATACCAGGTTTTGATAATCTAACATCGTATACCAGGTTTTGATAATCTAACATCGTATACCAGGTTTTGATAATCTAACATCGTATACCAGGTTTTGATAATCTAACATCGTATACCAGGTTTTGATAATCTAACATCGTTTACCAGGTTTTGATAATCTAACATCGTTTACCAGGTTTTGATAATCTAACATCGTATACCAGGTTTTGATAATCTAACATCGTATACCAGGTTTTGATAATCTAACATCGTATACCAGGTTTTGATAATCCAACATCGTATACCAGGTTTTGATAATCTAACATCGTATACCAGATCTCTGACTGGCATCAATAGGTTCCTTTATTTACTTTTTTGTTTTTTATTTGTAAATGTTTGGTAACATACAGGCTTGCTGATATAAAGGCTGGGATGGTCTTGCTTCCTGCCACTTTTAGATGTTTCAATTTCCTGTCAATCTCGGTGCCTACAGCAGCGGTTCTCAACCTGTGGGTCGCGACCCTTTTTTGGATTGCACGACCATTTCACAAGGGTCGCATAAGACCATCCAAAAAACACAGATTCGTTGAAGTTATGAAGAAAAATAATTGTCTGGGGGTCACCGCAACATGAAGGAACTGAATTAAAGGGTCGCAGCATTAGAAAGGTTGAGAGTCACTGACCTAGAGGGAAATACCAAATGGTGAAAGGTGAATAAATGATGAGTTTACCCATGGTAAAAGATTAAATGAATGATAACTTGCCCATGGTAAAAGATGAATGAAGGATTACTTGTAATCTAGTGAAACCACCCATTATAATGATCACAATGACAATATGCCTTATTTATGTCTGTGTTGTGTCTTACCAGGGCATCGATGTCGGGCCTTATTTATGTCTGTGTTGTGTCTTACCAGGGCATCGATGTCGGGCCTTATTTATGTCTGTGTTGTGTCTTACCAGGGCATCGATGTCGGGCCTTATTTCTGTCTGTGTTGTGTCTTACCAGGGCATCGATGTGGGGCCTTATTTATGTCTGTGTTGTGTCTTACCAGGGCATCGATGTCGGGCCTTATTTATGTCTGTGTTGGGTCTTACCAGGGCATCGATGTCGGGCCTTATTTATGTCTGTGTTGTGTCTTACCAGGGCATCGATGTCGGGCCTTATTTCTGTCTGTGTTGTGTCTTACCAGGGCATCGATGTGGGGCCTTATTTCTGTCTGTGTTGTGTCTTACCAGGGCATCGATGTGGGGCCTTATTTATGTCTGTGTTGTGTCTTACCAGGGCATCGATGTCGGGCCTTATTTATGTCTGTGTTGTGTCTTACCAGGGCATCGATGTGTCGGGCCTTATTTCTGTCTGTGTTGTGTCTTACCAGGGCATCGATGTGGGGCCTATTTCTGTCTGTGTTGTGTCTTACCAGGGCATCGATGTCGGGCCTTATTTATGTCTGTGTTGTGTCCTTACCAGGGCATCGATGTCGGGCCTTATTTATGTCTGTGTTGTGTCTTACCAGGGCATCGATGTCGGGCCTTATTTATGTCTGTGTTGTGTCTTACCAGGGCATCGATGTCGGGCCTTATTTATGTCTGTGTTGTGTCTTACCAGGGCATCGATGTCGGGCCTTATTTATGTCTGTGTTGTGTCTTACCAGGGCATCGATGTCGGGCCTTATTTCTGTCTGTGTTGTGTCTTACCAGGGCATCGATGTGGGGCCTTATTTATGTCTGTGTTGTGTCTTACCAGGGCATCGATGTCGGTCCTTATTTCTGTCTGTGTTGTGTCTTACCAGGGCATCGATGTGGGGCCTTATTTCTGTTTGTGTTGTGTCTTACCAGGGCATCGATGTGGGGCCTTATTTCTGTCTGTGTTGTGTCTTACCAGGGCATCGATGTGGGGCCTTATTTCTGTCTGTGTTGTGTCTTACCAGGGCATCGATGTGGGTAAAGCAGACTTTGACCGACGTCTTCTGTGCATAGAGAAGGAGATTGTTGGCCCTAGATACACCAAAATTCAGCAGGGGTCGCTAGATAAAACCAAGGAGCCTTTCAGTGTTAGACTGAAGCCATTTTACGACATCACCATGTCTCGCAAGGTTTGCAATTTTCTTTGTAAATGCAGAAATATACTTTGGATACTTATTAATTAAATAGTATTTGCCTTTCCAGCAGCAAGAAAACCACAGTGGTATTACTTTCATTACACACCTTTGTATAAAATTAAAATATATATCAGTGATTAAATGTAAGAAGTACAATCACAAGTCAGATGTTGTAAACATTGAGAATAGCCATTAACACACCACATATTAATTGGTACACATGAAGAATAGTCAGTCACCAATTGGACATTGATACAAACGAAGAGCAGTCAGTCACACATCAGACATTGATACAAACGAAGAGCAGTCAGTCACACATCAGACATTGATACAAACGAGGAGCAGTCAGTCACACAGACATTGATACAAACGAAGAGCAGTCAGTCACACAGACATTGATACAAACGAAGAGCAGTCAGTCACACAGACATTGATACAAACGAAGAGCAGTCAGTCACACAGACATTGATACAAACGAAGAGCAGTCAGTCACACATCAGACATTGATACAAACGAAGAGCAGTCAGTCACACAGACATTGATACAAACGAAGAGCAGTCAGTCACACAGACATTGATACAAACGAAGAGCAGTCAGTCACACACAGACATTGATACAAACGAAGAGCAGTCAGTCACACATCAGACATTGATACAAACGAAGAGCAGTCAGTCACACAGACATTGATACAAACGAAGAGCAGTCAGTCACACAGACATTGATACAAACGAAGAGCAGTCAGTCACACATCAGACATTGATACAAACGAAGAGCAGTCAGTCACACATCAGACATTGATTGATGTACATAAAGAACAGTCAGTTACACATCAGACATTGATTGATGTACATGAAGAGCAGTCAGTCACACATCAGACATTGATTGATGTACATGAAGAGCAGTCAGTCACACATCAGACATTGATTGATGTACATGAAGAGCAGTCAATCAAACATCAGACATTGATGCACATGAAGAGCAGTCAATCACACATCAGACATTGATTGATGCACGTGAAGAGCAGTCAGTCACACATCAGACATTGATTGATGCACATGAAGGGCAGTCAGTCAAGCATCAGACATTGATTGGTATACATGGAGAATAGCCAATCACAGAAGTAAGTTCCTTTATGCAGAATGACTTAACCCTTTGGGCCCCATCCCCCAGTTCAAAAAAAAAAAAGCTATAGGCAAATTTACCTTCACTATGGCTTTTGACAGTGTTTTCTGAAGGGGCAGCTCTCAGTACAATTTTCGAAACCAATGCAAGGCGGTCTGCTGCCAAAATTGCCTGCACCTGGGATCAAACTCGGCAGCGCTGCATTAGGAAGCATGTTCGCAACACCTAAGCCACAGACTCTGGCCATAAGAATCTTTAAAGAAAAGAAATATCTTTATCAAAGTGTCATGAACAAGAAAGGCAGTGTTATAGTTCTGGATGAGAAGAAGCAGAAAAAGTTTGGAGTTTTTTTAATATTCAAAGGGTTTAAATCTGTGACCACCGAGCAGACAGGTACAGATGGTTATTGCAACATCGCGGCTGTCAGGTTGCCAAAGGAAAAAAGAATTTTTTATATTTAGTTATTGTTTTGCTCAAAGGTGAGTTTTTTACATGAAGGAAAATAACACAGACAGAGCAAAGAATGTTCCTTTCCTTTGACCACGAGAACTGTCATTTTGTTGACATGAATTGACAATGGGTTACATCAGTTTGAGATTTTTATGGCGTCAAAGTGCTTGAAAATTAAATTATGCTTTCCAGCCTAAATAATAAATCCAACTTTTTTTTTTAATGCAATGATACCTATCATATAGACTCTGCAATTGGTAAGTGTGTTGGCCACTGCCCAAAGACATCATGCCATCAAAAATCCCACTGCCCAAAGACATCATGCCATCAAAAATCCCACTGCCCAAAGATATCATGCCATCAAAAATCCCACTGCCCAAAGACATCATGCCATCAAAAATCCCACTGCCCAAAGACATCATGCCATCAAAAATCCCACTGCCCAAAGACATCATGCCATCAAAAATCCCACTGACCAAAGACATCATGCCATCAAAAATCCCACTGACCAAAGACATCATGCCATCAAAAATCCCACTGCCCAAAGACATCATGCCATCAAAAATCCCACTGCCCAAAGACATCATGCCATCAAAAATCCCACTGACCAAAGACATCATGCCATCAAAAATCCCACTGCCCAAAGACATCATGCCATCAAAAATCCCACTGCCCAAAGACATCATGCCATCAAAAATCCCACTGCCCAAAGACATTATGCCATCAAAAATCCCACTGCCCAAAGACATTATGCCATCAAAAATCCCACTGCCCAAAGACATCATGCCATCAAAAATCCCACTGACCAAAGACATCATGCCATCAAAAATCCCACTGCCTAAAGATAACGTCATTTTAAAAAATCCTACCCAGAGACATCGTGTCATCATTATTGTTTTGTTACCACATTGCGCTGTCCATTCATGTTATACGCGGTCTTGTGCCAGATTGTCTCGGCTCTTATGCTGTCTTTTGGCTGACTGCCTTGTCCATTTCTCTTATATACAGTGCCTTTACTTGCTAGATTGTTCTTTCTGTTCCTCCTACTCACAGTGCTTTTACCTGCCAGATGGACTTTTCCATCCCTGCTTCTCACACTTGCTTTACTTGCCAGATTTTCTTCTTCTCACTTCCTACTCACACTGCATCTACTTGCCTACACATCCTCTGCCTGCCTGATTGCCCGTCATACTCACATTATCTGTACATGCCAATTCTATGTTTAATCCTGATAAGATCTTGTTTTAATTCTCAGTTTCTGGATGACAAGTTTACGAAGACACTCAGCCATGAAGTGGATGGTCTCATCTTTCAGCCAAGTGCAGATGTATGTATTGTGTTTCATGCATTCACAGAGAAAAATGCATTGAGGAACAGGCGAGAAATAGAGAGAATGTGTGAGAAAGAATGAAGGAAGAGAATTAACTATTTTAAATAATACCATCAAATGATATCAATGCAGGCGAGAAGTAGAGCAGGTCAGCTTCACATTATCACTGTCACAAACGATACATTATCATTGTTACTAACAAGACAGTGAACATTATCACTGTCACAAACGATACATTATCATTGTTAATAACAAGATAGTGAACATTATCACTGTCACAAACGATACATTATCATTGTTACTAACAAGATAGTGAACATTATCACTGTCACAAACGATACATTATCATTGTTACTAACAAGACAGTGAACATTATCACTGTCACAAAAGAGACAGTGAGCATTATGGCTACAAACTCTGAGTTTGGTGTGTTGTGAATGGTGCTCAGTCTTACGTTTTGTCTGTTGTCGTAATAACCAAGAGAATGTGAGAGAGGGCTGGGAAATAGAAAAGGCAGAAACCAGTAGAAGTTTAAATTCAGAAGTCCTAGTGGGTGTTCCGGTGGCCCACTGTGTGTGTGTGAGGGGATAACAACCCCCACCCCCACACACCCCTCCGCCCCCAACAAGTGTGTCATAAAATGTGAACAATTAGGGGTGTTTCCTTCACAGGCATTGTGCATCTGGAATACACATGAGAAATGAAACGGTTGCTACCCCATCTCTCTCTTTTCCCTACATTGCCTTTAAGGGGTTTAACACAGACAGTAAAGAAAGCTATGCCCTGTATGCTTCAGAACATTTACAGATTTTTACATTTCTATTTGATATCTTGTCATCTTTATAAACTGAATCCATTTGCTTACACATGTAGCATAAATGTATTGTGACTATGGAAGCAGAATTGTAACAGATCTTGTAGCTGTGAGTGTTTGTGTGTTCCCAGCCTTACATCTGTGGTCGGTGTCAGGATATACTCAAGTGGAAACCCCCAAGTCTCAACAGTGTCGACTTCAAACTGAGGATCACTAAAGTTGAGCAGATGGGGTCAGTGTTTGTTGTGTGTGTAAGAGATACAGAGAGGTAGTTAATGGGACATTGTGGCCTATACACTTCCTGAACAAGTTAATGGTGTATTTTCAGACCCCCAGATCTCACACTTTTATGTCTGACCAGAGTAACCAAGGATTCAATCCAGCTTTGTAACACAGGCAATAGATAATATCCCACTTTTGCTGGACAGGTTGTTCTCAAAATATGTGTGCCTTTGCTGAAACATTTATTTTCCTCCACCTTTTCCTCTAATTATCTTTCTCCGTTTTAATCTGTTAAATGTGTTCCTCTGCTAATTGTTTTTTCTATATTTCTTTCTGTTTGATACTTGCTTCTGTTATTTACTTTCTACCTCTTTGCTTCTTGAACATTCTAAGCCTTTGAGACTCATTGCTGTAGATATCACACACACATGCCCCCCCCCCCCCACACCCCTTTTCTCCCATAGGCTTCTCTTTTTGGTGTTTGTAGGCATGCCTGTATATGATCTCTCCACCGTCTACTTGATCTGCCACGTGCTCTAATCCTATTCAGTCTTTTTATGCGCATTTATTATCTCTCTATTATCTGCTCTCATTATGCCAATAATATAAAACTAGTGGTGATTTAAAAGATTATGAATTTTATTGTCACTTCTTACTATCCATTCTCTGAATACCATCCTAGGTCAAACCTTTTCTTATTCTTCAAGTTCTACCCGACTTTTCAGATGAGGCAACATGCCTCTGTGAAGGCTGTAATGCAACATCTCCCCTCCCCCACACAGTTTGGTTTCCATGTCTCTGTTAAGGCTGTGGTGCAACACCTCCCCTCCCCTCCCCCACACAGTTTGGTTTCCATGTCTCTGTGAAGGCTGTAGTGCAACACCTCCCCTCCCCTCCCCCACACAGTTTGGTTTCCATGTCTCTGTGAAGGCTGTAATGCAACATCTCCCCTCCCCCACACAGTTTGGTTTCCATGCATCTGTGAAGGCTGTAGTGCAACACCTCCCCTCCCCTCCCCCACACAGTTTGGTTTCCATGTCTCTGTGAAGGCTGTAGTGCAACACCTCCCCTCCCCTCCCCCACACAGTTTGGTTTCCATGTCTCTGTGAAGGCTGTAGTGCAACATCTCCCCTCCCCCACACAGTTTGGTTTCCATGCCTCTGTGAAGGCTGTAGTGCAACACCTCCCCTCCCCTCCCCCCACACACAGTTTGGTTTCCATGTCTCTGTGAAGGCTGTAGTGCATCATCTCCCCTCCCCCACACAGTTTGGTTTCCATGCCTCTGTGAAGGCTGTAGTGCAACACCTCCCCTCCCCTCCCCCACACAGTTTGGTTTCCATGTCTCTGTGAAGGCTGTAGTGCAACATCTCCCCTCCCCCACACAGTTTGGTTTCCATGTCTCTGTGAAGGCTGTAGTGCAACACCTCCCCTCCCCTCCCCCACACAGTTTGGTTTCCATGTCTCTGTGAAGGCTGTAGTGCAACATCTCCCCTCCCCTCCCCCACACAGTTTGGTTTCCATGCCTCTGTGAAGGCTGTGATGCAACACCTCCCCTCTCCTCCCCCACACAGTTTGGTTTTCATGTCTCTGTGAAGGCTGTAGTGCAACATCTCCCCTCCCCCACACAGTTTGGTTTCCATGTCTCTGTGAAGGCTGTGGTGCAACATCTCCCCTCCCCTGATCCACACAGTTTGGTTTCCATGCCTCTGTGAAGGCTGTAATGCAACACCTCCCCTCTCCTCCCCCACACAGTTTGGTTTCCATGTCTCTGTGAAGGCTGTAGTGCAACATCTCCCCTCCCCCACACAGTTTGGTTTCCATGCCTCTGTGAAGGCTGTAATGCAACACCTCCCCTCCCCTCCCCTGATCCACAGTTTGGTTTCCATGTCTCTGTGAAGGCTGTAGAGCAACATCTCCCCTTCCCTGATCCACACAGTTTGGTTTCCATGTCTCTGTGAAGGCTGTAGTGCAACACCTCCCCTCCCCTCCCCTCCCCTGATCCACAGTTTGGTTTCCATGTCTCTGTGAAGGCTGTAGAGCAACATCTCCCCTCCCCTGATCCACACAGTTTGGTTTCCATGCCTATGTGAAGGCTGTAGTGCAACACCACCCCTCCCCCACACAGTTTGGTTTCCATGTCTCTGTGAAGGCTGTAGTGCAACACCTCCCCTCCCCTCCCCCACACAGTTTGGTTTCCATGTCTCTGTGAAGGCTGTAGTGCAACATCTCCCCTCCCCCACACAGTTTGGTTTCCATGTCTCTGTGAAGGCTGTAATGCAACACCTCCCCTCCCCCACACAGTTTGGTTTCCATGTCTCTGTGAAGGCTGTAGTGCAACATCTCCCCTCCCCCACACAGTTTGGTTTCCATGTCTCTGTGAAGGCTGTAATGCAACATCTCCCCTCCCCCACACAGTTTGGTTTCCATGCCTCTGTGAAGGCTGTGGTGCAACATCTCCCCTCCCCCACACAGTTTGGTTTCCATGTCTCTGTGAAGGCTGTGGTGCAACACCTCTCCTCCCCCACACAGCTTAGTTTCCATGTCTCTGTGAAGGCTGTGGTGCAACACCTCTCCTCCCCTGATCCACACAGTTTGGTTTCCATGTCTCTGTGAAGGCTGTAGTGTAACATCTCCCCTCTCCCACACAGTTTGGTTTCCATGTCTCTGTGAAGGCTGTAGTGCAACACCTCTCCTCCCCTGATCCACACAGTTTGGTTTCCATGCCTATGTGAAGGCTGTAGTGCAACACCACCCCTCCCCCACACAGTTTGGTTTCCATGTCTCTGTGAAGGCTGTAGTGCAACATCTCCCCTCCCCCACACAGTTTGGTTTCCATGCCTCTGTGAAGGCTGTAGTGCAACATCTCCCCTCCCCCACACAGTTTGGTTTCCATGTCTCTGTGAAGGCTGTAGTGCAACACCTCCCCTCCCCTGATCCACACAGTTTGGTTTCATGTCTCTGTGAAGGCTGTAGTGCAACACCTCCCCTCCCCTGATCCACACAGTTTGGTTTCCATGTCTCTGTGAAGGCTGTGGTGCAACACCTCCCCTCCCCCACACAGTTTGGTTTCCATGTCTCTGTGAAGGCTGTGGTGCAACACCTCCCCTCTCCTGATCCACACAGTTTGGTTTCCATGTCTCTGTGAAGGCTGTAGAGCAACACCTCTCCTCCCCTCCCCCACACAGTTTGGTTTCCATGTCTCTGTGAAGGCTGTGGTGCAACACCTCCCCTCCCCTGATCCACACAGTTTGGTTTCCATGTCTCTGTGAAGGCTGTAGAGCAACACCACCCTTCCCTGATCCACACAGTTTGGTTTCCATGCCTCTGTGAAGGCTGTAGAGCAACACCACCCCTTCCCTGATCCACACAGTTTGGTTTCCATGCCTCTGTGAAGGCTGTAGTGCAACACCTCCCCTTCCCTGATCCACACAGTTTGGTTTCCATGCCTCTGTGAAGGCTGTAGTGCAACACCTCCCCTCCTCTGATCCACACAGTTTAGTTTCCATGCCTCTGTGAAGGCTGTGGTGCAACACCTCCCCTCCTCTGATCCACACAGTTTGGTTTCCATGCCTCTGTGAAGGCTGTAGTGCAACACCTCCCCTCCCCTCCCCCACACAGTTTGGTTTCTGCCGTAAAAGCATGTTGCAGGAGGTGATTAGTTATTGGTGTTTTCTTTAAAATTGGGGTTCATCTGACAGAGAGATGAGAAACCAACAGTCTGCATACAAAAAAGCCACATCTATAAAATGGACGTGCACTCAACACTCAGGTTCTGAAATGAGACCAAAGTCCAGAAATGGATGAACACCCATAATTTTCCACTGGAGTTTACAGCAAGGAAATGCTCAGATGAAGACACTGGTATAAAGAAAGAAAAAAGCTATGCAGCATAGTTCAAGTAGACTTAAAACTCTGATAATGGGTCGAAGAAAAGTATTTGCAGCAATCTAGCTTGATGAGATACGAACCATTTTAAGGACTTAAACAACCGAACACAAGTGTGGACTACCTGAACACAAGTGCGGACTACCTGAACACAAGAGTGGACTACCTGAACACAAGAGTGGACTACCTGAACACAAGTGCGGACTACCTGAACACAAGAGTGGACTACCTGAACACAAGAGTGGACTACCTGAACACAAGTGCAGACAACCTGAACACACTGCAGACAACCTGAACACAGTGCAGACAACCTGAACACAGTGCAGACAACCTGAACACAGTGCAGACAACCTGAACACAGTGCAGACAACCTGAACACACTGCAGACAACCTGAACACAGTGCAGACAACCTGAACACAGTGCAGACAACCTGAACACAGTGCAGACAACCTGAACACAGTGCAGACAACCTGAACACAGTGCAGACAACCTGAACACAGTGCAGACAACCTGAACACAGTGCAGACAACCTGAACACAGTGCAGACAACCTGAACACAGTGCAGACAACCTGAACACAGTGCAGACAACCTGAACACAGTGCAGACAACCTGAACACAGTGCAGACAACCTGAACACAGTGCAGACAACCTGAACACAGTGCAGACAACCTGAACACAGTGCAGACAACCTGAACACAAGTGCGGACTACCTGAACACAAGTGCGGACTACCTGAACACAGTGCAGACAACCTGAACACAAGTGCGGACTACCTGAACACAGTGGAGACAACCTGAACACAGTGCAGACAACCTGAATACAGTGCAGACAACCTGAACACAAGTGTGGACTACCTGAACACAGTGGAGACAACCTGAACACAGTGCAGACAACCTGAATACAGTGCAGACAACCTGAACACAGTGCAGACAACCTGAACACAGTGCAGACAACCTAAACACAGTGCAGACAAACTGAACACTGCAGACAACCTGAACACAGTGCAGACAACCTGAACACAGTGCAGACAACCTGAACACAGTGCAAACAACCTGAACACAGTGCAGACAACCTGAACAACAATGCATGAGTCACTCTTAAAGAGTTAAACCTCAGTCGTCCAGAGGATTCAGCCAATCATTAAACATTACCGTGTTCATTGTTTAGGTTATTTCCCCTGTTCTCTTCCACACACCAAGATAACAGCTACTATTTCCACATCCATGTTCCACATATACACTTTCTGTTCGGATTTAAATCCAGACCACTGGCTTGGCAAGCAGGTGTACAAATCAGTATACAACTGTAGTACACATTTTCCACTCAGTTAAACAGTTACTGCTGGGGCGTAACAGTTCGTTGGGGGGTGAAACAATTACGCTATAATGATGATATCTTGAACCATAGACTGTTTGCTGGCAGCATGTGCACTGATAGCACACCATATCTGATTGTATATTTGTGAAATGTTGGCTTTTCTGCAGAATGTTGCCCGAGTGGCAGGGTTTGTTGTATGTAGGGCAGCTGGACACCCCGTTTGCTTCCATCAAGGTAAAACACAAACATCTTTATCCCCACATTATTGACTGTCTCTGTGTGTTGACATTTTTCTAGTTATTTCTCATGGGGTTCACGTGTGTGTATGTTATTCTGTGTATTCACATGTGTGTTATTTCTCTGGTCTTGTTTGTACATCATTTATGTGTGTTTGTATGTGTACAATATTTCACTCTGTTCATGTGTACATGCATTATTTCTGTGTGTACATTATTTCTCTATATGTTTTTATATGTGTGTATTTCTGTATGTGTTCACATCTCTGTATGTAATGTTATCACAGTGAATGCTGTTGGGCATTCTGAACATCTTTCCATCATCCCTGTATGTCATTTGAATGTGCTGCTGGGTTATGTTAGTTCTTCTTCCCTTGGCCTATTCCAGCTCATAACGTACATAAGCCAATAAATGTCCTAAATTCTTTTTCTTCAGCATTCCCAGTGCTTGAGGCTCACTGCTGCAGATATCTCCTGCCTCTATTCATCTCTGTGATTGGTGATCTCTTTCCACTTGATAACTCCAAATGTTTGTAGCTCTATCTCGGTATTTTCTCTCCATCATCTTTTTAGTCTGCCTCATGGTCTACAACCATTCAGCCCCTTGCATACAGTTATTACCTTAAATCAGCTGTGTTAGGCCGTCAGGTGCAGATATCACAGCCTAGCTGTAAACCACAACACAGTGTGCCCACTGCCCCTTTAAAAACAACAAAAAACGTATCCTAGTGATTCTCTAAGTATCTTCCCATTGTTCTCTCTCTCCCCCCCCCCCTCCCCCACCCCCTCAAATGTGCCAGTTGTCAATAAATTGTCAGGTTTATTTGTTGGCCAGGTAACGAAAGATCTCAAGAACTATGATGGAAAGATAATTGAATGCTCATATGATGGCAAGTGCTGGCAATTTATGAGGGAGAGAACAGACAAGTCATTTCCAAACAGTTACAACACAGCCATGGGTAAGTCTTGTCTTGTCAAAACTTTCCAAACAGTTACAACACAGCTATGGGTAAGTCTGTCTTGTCCAGTTTGTCTCATACCGGTGTAGGCTTCTTTGTGCCAGGGACTCTTCATAGTCTAGAGTGCTTTAGTTTCCTCCCAGGGTGATATTTGGGATCTCTGAATGCTTTACTCTCCTCCCAAGGTGACATATGGGAATCTCTGAGTGCTTTACTCTGCTCCCAAGGTCACATATGGGAATCTCTGAGTGCTTTCTCTCCTCCCAAGGTGACTTAAATTAATGGAATATCTTAAAGTGCTTACTCTCCTCCCAAGGTGACTTAAATGGGATATCTTTGAGTGCTTTACTCTGCTCCCAAGGTGACTTAAATGGGATATCTTTGAGTGCTTTACTCTCCTCCCAAGGTGACATGTGTGAATCTTTTGAGTGCTTTACTCTGCTCCCAAGGTGACTTAAATGGGATATCTTTGAGTGCTTTACTCTGCTCCCAAGGTGACAAATGGAAATCTCTTTGAGTGCCCTCAGTCTCCCAAACATCAAAGAATCTCAGCACAACCCATAAACAGCACTGGCAAGTATTTGTGTGTCAGAGGCACATTCTGTGGATATTTTGTTGTCTTCACATGTTGCTTGGGCAACGGATTATTATTTGCCTGCTCTATCTAGTTTCCTACTGTCAGTAAATTTATTTCTAGTGAAATTTGTTGATATTTGTATTCTTGTTTCTGTGCACTGAGCGGTGCAGATGGGATGTATTGTTATTCTCACAGGTTTTTGTGACATAATTATATACTGTGTTATTCTCACAGGAGTTTATAGGTAACACTTTATAACATCATATGTCTTGTTCCCACAGGTGTATGTAGGTAACACTTTATAACATCATATGCCTTGTTCCCACAGGTGTGTGTAGGTAACACTATATAACATCATATGTCTTGTTCCCACAGGTGTATGTGGCAGTATAAAACACCCAGTGACCAAAGAGCTGCTTTTGCATGTCATAGAGAAAGAAAGATGGCAGCCAGAAGCAACCAAACTCATGCCACCTCCAGACAGAAAACATTAAACTCATTGACACTCCAGAAGTTTTACATTGTATAACTAGTCCGCTATATAACAAGGATGAAATAAAGTATAGGTTGTAATGCTGTTGAGAAGAAACTTGGTCAGTTGGTTTGAATCCTCAGCAAAGTGGTATTTTTTTCCCCTTGCTGTTGGGAGTCCAAAATAAAAATCCTGGCACTGTTCACGGCAGGTACATTAGCCATGCTGCCCTCAACACCCCCCCCCCCTTTGTGGTTTTTGTTCTTTGCATTGTGCATTTCAGGGTTATGAAGAGACTTCTGGACCATCTCTGTTATGTCTTCTATTCCATGGAACTTATTTCCTCGGTTATGTCATTACAAAATCTTTCATGAAAATGGTCTTTTGAACGTTCTACAGTGTCTCAGTGCTGCTGCTTTCTTTACAACTCTGACTTGTGATGTTGATGCATAGTCACACTGTTTTACCAGCTGGTTTTTGTTTTCTTCCCAAGTCAAATATTTTTGATATTTTTGGATGAAGTCTGACTTGTTTTCTGATATCATCATTCCTTGTATTGTTTTTGTGTTAGCATTACTTTCAGGAATATGAACTCAGAAGCGTCATGTGTTGCTGTCTGTAAGTTTTAATTGTTCACATGTGTAAGTTGTGTGTTCTGCAGTAAAGAAGCACCTCTGCATTGTGAATCTTCAGCCTGTGTGTGTTGTGTGACAGGAAAATTGTGTGTCATCTGGCGCATTGTTATGTGGAAGGTAAGCAATCATGGCTTAATGTTGTTATGTGTTGCATAGAAAGGACAGCATCGTGAGTCAGAGTGTCATCTAACACTGTATGTGTGGTGGGGTGTGTATTTGTGAGTTAGAGTGTCATCTGCCACTGTGTGTTATGTGGAAGGGGGAAGTTGAGTTAGTGCCATCCGTGACTTTGTGTTGTTTGGAAGGAAATATTTGTGAGTTTAGTCTCATCTGTTACTGTGTGGAAGAAAACCAATCGTGGGATAAGGGGTAATCTGCTATTGTGTGCATGAAAGTATCCATATTGTATAAAGGGAAAGCATTTAGAATTATAAAGGTAGCCTCACAGCAGATACTGCTGCTGGAGTGTAAACTGTTTGACCCTCACGTATTCTAGGCCACAGCATATGAGGTAAAGTGGTCAGTTCCCTTCCTCATCATATATTTTGTTTGTTCAAAGAGATTCTGAAAATTGTCCAGTAACCATATTTATGAGGCAGTGTCGTGCTGGGGAAATATTGAACTAAAACACCATGTTCCACCTTGTGTTGAATGTTGGGGAAATGCTGAACTAAAATATGCTCCACCAAAGGTTGGGGAAATATTGAACTAAAGTATCATGCTCCACTAAGTGTAGGTTGTGGGCCCCGTGGCAACAGTAGGAACACTGGTAGGTTATCATAGCACTTATATTGTACAATGCCATTTTGAAAGCAGAGGCAAACTACTGAATGTAAGTAAAAATTACCTACAAAAACCACAAGCAAAGATTAATGCTGGAATTGTTTGTGATGTCCTGAAGAAGATTGGCACTAACTTGAAACCATGATGACGTTACTTGGGAGGTTATTTGTATAAACATGTATGCTCTAACACAGGACAAAACATGGATTTGTTGTGTTACTATGGAAACAGTTTTGAGTGTTCATTTTTCCATAATTATCTATAGTTCTTCTTGGCATTCACCAGCTGTAAACTCTGGCAGAAAGTTCTGGTTGTTTGCCCAAAGTTCTGGCTGTTTGCCCAAAGTTCTAGTTGTTTGCCCAAAGTTCTGGTTCTTTGCCCAAACTTCTGGTTGTTTGCCCAAACTTCTGGTTGTTTGGCCACTTCTGGACTTTGGTCGTGTTCCAGAACTTTGGATGTTTGCTTGCATATCCATTTAACAGATTTGGCTTTTTTGTATGCAGACTGTTGGTTTTTTGCCTCTTAAGGTAATGCACTCTGAGTCCAAAAGAACACCCTTAAAAAGTCATCCAGTATTTGATAGATATGCACATCGCCAGTTTTCAGCAATGTCAAATATCTCAGCCACCGAGCTGGTTGCGAACCTCCCTGAATAAATAAATCAAGAATTTACATTAGTTAGCTGGGCATTCTCACACATGATCTGTCCCCCTCCTCAGCAGCCAGCAAAGAGTTCCCACAATGATGCTACCAGTTGCAACTATGAAAAGTCAGCATGTATTTTTGTTTCTGTGCACACTGAAAACCAGCCAGACCCTTTGTGTGCTTGTCATTCACTCATTGTCCTATTGTGCCAGTCAGTACACACGGTCCGTGGTCTATGTCTCCATCTTTGTTCTATCCTGTGAACTTATTTTGATATCATGAATGGAACCCAGTCTAGCAGCTTTGGCCTCTCTCATCAACATTCGCTTTAGGGTTTCTCTTGAATGACCTCAGTTTCCCATTGCAGTGCGTGTTTGATTGCTAACTGCCTGCTAAATCAGTCCCTGATCCTTCCATTACATGGTTGCCTGTCTTACGCCATTCTTGTAATGACCACTCAGCCACATTCGAAGAAAAAAACTAACAAACATCAACATTCACGTATGAAATTATGGCCGAGGTGTGGTGGCCAGACACTCACCTCAAGCCCGAAGGTTGCAGGTTGAACCACATCGAGCTGGATTTGTAGATTCCTTTGTTGACCCTGCCTACAAAGGTCACCAGGTCAAGTCCCTGGAAGTAAAAGCAGCTGACGCCATCACACACCGAGTGCTGACCGGTCAATAAAATTTGGTGCTAGCCCTATATGCCCAATGATGTGGAAAAGGGTCCTCTGCTTTATGTAGTTATTTACATACGACTGTTACATATGAGCCAGATGCTCATCTGCCAGCCTCAAGGTCTTGGGAACAAATCTAGATCCAGTTGGAATTTTTCAGAACTGATCTTGGGAACAAATCTAGATCCAGTTGGAATTTTTCAGAACTGATCTTGGGAACAAATCTAGATCCAGTTGGAATTTTTCAGAACTGATCTTGGGAACAAATCTAGATCCAGTTGGAATTTTTCAGAACTGATCTTGGGAACAAATCTAGATCCAGTTGGAATTTTTCAGAACTGATCTTGGGAACAAATCTAGATCCAGTTGGAATTTTTCAGAACTGATCTTGCGAACAAATCTAGATGCAGTTGGAATTTTTCAGAACTGATCTTGCGAACAAATCTAGATCCAGTTGGAATTTTTCAGAACTGATCTTGCGAACAAATCTAGATCCAGTTGGAATTTTTCAGAACTGATCTTGGGAACAAATCTAGATGCAGTTGGAATTTTTCAGAACTGATCTTGGCTCCCAAGTTGACCCAGTCTAAAACTGAGTACCAGGTAGTGTACTGGGAAGTCAAGGTGACTAGCATGCTGTTGGCCACATCATCCATATAGAGTGCTGATTGGTCTACAATAATTTGTCTGCTGTCAACTTCTGCCCAGTGCCGCCACTGGCGTGAAAACTGTCCTTTGCTTGATCATAGCATATAAACTCCTCAGTCAACACTAAATGTTGATATGTGACAAGCTTCCATTTCTGCAACTTAGATCTACGGGGTGCATAACAGTGAACAAGGTATAGACCCTTTTCATACTTTGACGAATTGGCCATATAATACTAGATCTATATTGTTATCAGCTAATTTGAACATGATCACCAATGAGACCAACATCAGGCTGGCCTCCTTTACTTCCCAGGACATTACCTAGTACCAAATGTAGGCTCAGTCGACCTTGGGCATATGGTGCTGGCTTCACATTTGTATAGACCATTTGACACTTGGAGAGTGATGTGATCGGTATTATGATGGCTGCATTTACTTCCCAGAACTTTGCTGGTACCCATTTTAGATTGTCTGTCCCCCACTCCACAAAAATGGTTCCCCAGAATCCACAAGGCGAAACTGTTACTATAACTTCTGTTTCCTAGTTGTACTTGAACCCTCTAGACCCACACACTTGGTGACATAACTTTTTAGCATAGAGTAAGTTTCAATACTACCTCATCTACAGCTGGTAGTGATGAACATAGTCATGACTAAACACTACCTAAAGCCCATGTACTGAAAATTACCACTTGCAAAATTAGATGCCTGAGAAAAGCCACTAACCTAATCATCCGAGATCATGTGAATAATAATACTTTCAGACAAATTGTTTAAACAACACATTAGATTCATCGAGATACAGCAGAACAAGTGGTTTGGCCATCTCGCTAGAATACAGCAAGATAAAATACCATCACAGTCCCTACATCTCAGAAAATTAGCTACACGAGCAAGAGGATGGCAGCGAAAAAAATGGATCAACAACATTAAAGACACTGCGCCTTCACGGTATGACAATAGCCAGCGGCAGAGAGTGTGCACTGGATTGCAAATGATTACTTCCCATGATGCTTAATGGCAAAAGTGGTTTATGATGATGATGACTAGACACTTACATCCCTTCATTAATAACAACTTGTAATTTTTTTAACATATGAACAAATGTTGTTTATTCTCTCTCACTCACACAACTTCTCATCATCACACCAACATAAAAAAACCCACAATAATTTCTCTGTAGCCTCAAAATGCTACAGCAAATCAAAATTCCTTACTTATCTAAAACTCACTGCTCAATCTTCTTCTCCTTAGCATTCAGCACTAGCATTGTGAATCACCGCAGGATGTCCACTCACTGTAGGATCACAGCACAATCTGGCAGAATTAAACAGTCATTTGCCAAGGTTTTCACAGATTGACAACCAAAACAGAGGAGAAAGACAAGACACTTCAGAGTCATATCTCAAGTTCTAAGACTCCTCCCAAGTGTCAACAGATCATACAGGGTGCCCCCAAAGTCTGAAAAAATACACATTTTCAAGAAATAAAATATATTAACACCATTTTATTCAACTGGAACATAAAATAACACTTTCAATATGATTTCCTTATTGTAACAGAGATGCTGAAATTTCAACACAGTGTGAGGTTTGTCAGAATATTACATAAAAATGTGTAAACTCTGTACCCTTTTTAATCTTTCTCTCTGAATGTAAATGCACACTTTCACATTCAACTAGCACATTATTCATTCATCATCTAATGTCTGTCTTCATTAAGAAACAAATCAAGTAAACACAACATCCGGCAGTTAAAACTATCACGATACAGTTTTCTTCTCTTTTCTTTTGATGCCTGTACGGCGATACTCTGTCCGTTCATCGAGATATTCCTGTGTACAAAGTTCCACAAATGTTGGATCCTGATATCTGTAAACAGAGACAAATGATGAACTTACTTCACAACAGTGAAGACATAAGGTCTAGAACCTAGTAAGATATTACAATGGAGACAATGTATAGAGTTGAGTCAAGAATGGACATCACAGCACACAGGGCATTCCCATGCATGTTCTGTTCTCATCTTCAGAAGCCAGTGCATAGTTCCAATACTGATGGTACCAGTCGAAATCTGGTTATATGTCTGTCTTGCTTTTCTTTTGAGTGTAGTAAGCTGGCCGGACTCTCTGGTTACACACAGGTGCATGATTCTCTCAATGGCCATAATAATCCTGTTTCTCTACTAATTCCGTTGCTTGTTCCCAAAGGGCCTAGACAACATCTGCCTTGTATCAATTCAGCACAATGTGTAAAACAGTATCAATACATTATGTGAAAGGACCCTTTCCCACACCTCTAGGCGTACTCGATCTATACTGCTAGACCTACATTTTCACACCAATCAGCACTATGTGGGTGATGTGGTCAGCATCACACAGACTGCCTTTACTTCCCAGGACTTTACCGATACCCATTTAAGGTTGAGTCGACCAGGAAGCCAAGTTAATTTTTTTTAACCTTCTGCTCTGTTCGAATTTGAACATATGATCTTCAGATCCGCAGGCATTACACACTGGAGACAATCAAATACCAAAACACTTCAGTAGACTCCAGTGGAGGTGTGAAGTGTAGAAATTAATTCACTCACTACGCTGGAGGACACAAGTTGTAGCATTGATTAATATATTACAATGGAGACAAAGAGTAAAACATATCACTACATTATAAAAGATTATAAAACTTGCCAATACATCACAATGGAGATACAGAGTGTAGATATCAAATCATCGAGTGAAGACACAGTGTGAAACAACAACTCACTACAAATGAGACATGAGGTCTAGATGTTTTCTTCTTCCTCATCTTCTTTGCATTCACCAGCTGTAGACTCTGATGCAAAGTCTTGTTGTTCGTCCGCATCTGAGCCTTTGTCTGACTTATTTCAATGCAGACTGTTGGTGCTTCGTCTCCCAGAACCATGCACTATGGCTTCGAGGCATCCCTAATTAGTAAACTTGTACGACAATCTTGTTGGGGGGAGGGGATCTCACCACTTTTTTTTGCCCCCTTAGAACGCATATAGGGAAGAGATTTTCAATTCATACTACTCAGGAAACGCTGACACAAATTATCAATATGCCACAACGAAGACACCAGGTGAAGAAGTAAGAACTCTTTTCCTGGAAAGTAAACGCGGCTGGCATAATTTTGAACACATCATCCATCGAGGGCCGATTGTTCTGTAAAAAATCCAACTGAATGCGCATTTGAACTGAAGACCTTCAGGTTAGCAGACAAGCATCTAGGCATTAAAGTGCTGAAACTAATAATTCACTGCAATGAAGAAATAGTGTGCCACACAACAACTAAGAGACTGCTGGCACCATCACTTACAAGGAAGGATGACAGAAGGAACAGTAAGTATTCACTTACGCAGATGCCAGACATAATTTTAAGCTGGCTGCCTCCTTGCGACATTTGAATGGCATCATGACACCTTGACATCTGGCACACTCGCCAAAATCTGAAACAGAAAATCATGGCTACTTGGCGCAATGATCATATTTGTCTGGCTGCATGTTTTGTCCAAGGTTCACATAGGCAATCTTACCTCTGATTATTTTTATACCTCAGCCCCTGTGAAAATGTTTCAATGAATACAAGGGTTTTCAAGCTGTCATACCTCATACCCGACCTGTGATAATGTTTCAATGAATACAAGGGTTTTCAAGCTCTCATACCTCATACCCGACCTGTGATAATGTTTCAATGAATACAAGGGTTTTCAAGCTCTCATACCCGACCTGTGATAATGTTTCAATGAATACAAGGGTTTTCAAGCTGTCATACCTCAATACCCAACCTGTGATGTTTCAATGAAAACAGGGGTTTTTAAGTTGCCTGTCTCATACCTTTAACTGTAGCTGTCCTGAAGGGCCCAACCAAATGACTTTGCAAGACTGATATGGCAAGTGGGCAGGATATTCCAGCATCCCTGCTCTAAGCCACCCCTACCACTCCTGTTGTTAAACTTACAAGCAACAAAAAAAAAAAACTAATGAACTCTTTCCACACGAGTGGTGCATTAAGTACAGGAAGCTATTCATTTTCTGAATAAGCCAATTAGCACTTGCCAGGCGATATAGTCAAACCAATCAGCACTCACTAGACAATGTAGTCAAACAAATCGGCACTCAGCTGGGTGATGCAGTCAATATCATGTCAATCTTTACCTTAAAAGATATTACTTGGCACCCTTTTTAGGTTGGGTCAACCATGCTTGTCATAGAAGCTACTATTTCCTGTCACATCTTGTTTATTACACTACCATTAATCTTTTCCAACTCCTATGTCCAAGTTAAACATTCCACTGGCAAAGCCATTACCTTTAACTTCATCGGGACACTTCAACACTTTGGCCTTTTCCTTCATCTTCAAAGGAATCATGATCTCGCGTTCAACTTTTCGAAGAGTCCGGTCATCAGGATCCCCTGCAAAACATTTTAGTGAGAGTTATGATGACACAGCGCCTCCGACTTGGCTCAGTTCTCTGACATAAGATATAAATATCTACCATGTACGACTCGCTCTAACACCCGATCAGGAAGAACCATAATATGACTGAGTCTTAGAACACTACACAGACCGTGCTTCCCTCAAAATAAGACAAGGTCTTATTTGAGGAACATTTTAGTTTCCAAGCCCAAAAATAGACCCCTTCCCGTCGGGTCGCAGGACCTCTCCTATGTTGAAGAGGTGTTATGATATGGCTTGGTTTGGTGTTCCCTAGGGGTATATAAAGGGAGGTTGTTTTGTTGTGAGTCTATTTCAGTAGCCGCAGGCCCCTGTGTACAAGTAGGAATTAAGACGTTTTTACATTTTTACGTATGTATAGATGCATTTGTTCTTTTCTTTACCCATGATATTCTTAACAGCCGCTTATAAAATTTTTATTTAAAGGTCTTTATGCACGTTCAGCTTGCTTAGTAAGTGTCCAGGTCTCACAGGTGTATGTGCGACTATGGTGATCATAATATCTTCAGCTGAAAATGGGACATAATTCTAAATTGTCAGCTGAAAATGAGACAACCCAAGCAAGTCATTCGGACTCTCACTCCTTTCTTTTTTTTTTTCACTTTTATTTTCTGAGGTCACCAGGGTTAAAGGGTTAAACACTTGTGACAATGATATTAGTTTAGTATTATAGCTTGATGCACTGTCGCCAAGAAATAATCAAAATAATATGCTCTTTAATGGCACTGGGATGAAAAACATGATGACTGCAGACACTTCAATTATTTCAAACTATGAAATCTAATATAGTAATTTAAGTAAGGTCAACATATTATAAGTGTATACATTCTATAAACAGCGTACTTCGATATCAATTACCAACGAAGTTAGGTTTTTTTGAAACAATCTTTGTTCGAATATAAAAAGCATTTAAAATGCAAAAGCACAAAACACATTGCGCTTAAGATTAAACATGTTTATATTGTTATTGTCGATGCCATTTTTTTTTTCGTAGTTTTGTTTTTCCCCTTCAACGACATGCTCTACTAGTACTATAGTAGTTAAGTAGTACTTACTTTACTTTTTCCTTCCACGTATGCCGCTAAGCGTTGTGGGGAGATGCAAGTTCCTGTCATAAGCAAGGCGGGCAGCATCTGATGTTCTGAGGCCATGCTTTTGGCAGGTTTCGGAGACCCCGTCAATCCACCGTTTCCTTGGTCTTCCTCTTGCCTTATATCCTGAGCTTCTTTGATTGAAAATTTGTGATGTTATTTGATCATTTTTCATCCTGGTTAGATGTCCAAACCATTTCATTCTTTGATGTTCTATGTAGTCTAAACATGGTGTAGTTTTGACAGTGTTTCTAATGTCTATATTCTTTATCCTGTCTAGTCTTGTCTTATTCGCTGCTTTTCTTAGACATTTCATTTCACAGGCTTCTATTTTTCTTTCATGGGTCTTGTTGATTGTCCATGTCTGGCACTGGTAGCAGAGTGTTGGAATGAAGATGGTGTTTATCAATTGTCTTTTGGTCTTCATGGTTATATCTGGATGTTTAAGCAAAGGTGATAGTTGGTATGTGACAGCATTTGCTTTCTGTATTCTTGTTTCTATCTCTCTGTCCATTCTTCCATCCTCTGTAAATATACTGCCCAAGTATTTGAACTCTTTGGTTTGCTTGATTTTGGCACTTCCAACATTTATATTCAGTGGCCTGTGTGTTCTGCTGATCTTCATAACTTCTGTTTTTTCTGTACTGATTCTCATATTATGTTGTAAACAGCTGTTGTTGAGAGTAGTCAGATGTTCCTGTAGATCATATTCATTTTGATACAGTATGCTTTGATCATCAGCAAAAAGTAATTCGTTTATAGCATACACGTCTGGGTTTGCTTCTACAGTGATCTTATCCATGTATGTTATGAAAAGTAATGGTGACAGTACACATCCTTGTCTGACACCAGTTGTGACTTTGAACCATTCAGAAAGACCACTAGATGTTCTTACTGCACTTTCACTTTTTTCATAGAGGGCTCTGATGTTGTCTAATAATTGACCCTGCACTCCGTAATCGTCAAGAATTCTCCACAGCACATCTCTGTCTACACGGTCGAATGCCTTCTCTTGATCTACAAAGACCACGTTCAGCTCTTTATCGTATTCGAGTGTCTTTTCACAGACTTGTCTTAGTGCAAATATGGCATCAGTGCAACCTCGCCCTTTCCTGAAACCGAATTGTGCTTTACTCAGTAGAGGTTCAACCTTTGCTCTTGTCCTACCTTCTAAGATCTTTGCATACATTTTCCCCACATGACTTAGTAAAGATATTCCTCTATAAGTTCCACATTCTCTCTTGTTTCCTTTTTTCTTCCAGATAGGTACTACAACTGATCTTTGCCAATCCACTGGTACCTTTCTCTCTGCCCATGCTCTATTGAAAATTCTCTCCAGCCAGGTGATCATAGTGTCCCCTCCAGCCTGGATGACTTCTGTTGTTATTCCGTCGATACCAGCTGCTTTGTGTCTTTTACTTGTTTTGATAACTTTCTCTACTTCATCCCGCAGGATATGTGGTTCTAGATGATCTGGAGCCCTTGAATGGAATTCTGCTGTTTCATGTACTCCCGACGGGTTCAAAAGTTCTTTAAAATATTCCTCCCATCTTTTTTTTAATTTCTTTTTGGCTGAATAATGGTTTTCCATTTTTATCGTTTATGACTGATGTTGGATTGAAGCTTTCTTCTCTTAATCGCATCGCTTTCACACTCTTATAGAAGTCTCTTGATGATTCTGTACATAGCTGTGTTAGGTGTTCACCATACTTTTTCCATGATTCCTCTTTGGATTTCTTTATTGTTCTCTTGGTGTCTCTTCGAGTTAGTCTGTACCTAATGTAATCCTTTTCGTCTTTTGTTTTTAACCATATTTGAAACATCTTCTTTTTATTTGACACTGCTTCTTTGACTTCTTCATTCCACCAAGCGGTACCCTTTTTCTTGCCTTTGCCCGTCTTTCTGGTACCACACTTGTCTTTTAATATCTTCGTGATGGTTGATTTATAATAATCCCATTCTTCTTCAATTCTTACTGGTTCCTTGGCAATATCTGCAAAAGCCTTTGTTATTTCCAGTTCAAATTCATGTTTGATATTCTCTTCCTCTAATTTCTTAGTGTTGATGATTTCTTCACGTTTCTGTTTATGTAGACTGTTTCTACTTGAGTTGCATATGTTCATAACTACTGGGCGATGGTCTGAATCCAGTCCCGCATTTGGGACAGCTTTTGAGTCTCTTACCTTCCTCTTCTGCCGTTGTCTGACTAGTATAAAATCAATTTGTGACGCTTGATCTAAGTTGTTCCACTTGTACCACGTTTTAACCTGACTTTGGCGATGTTGGTAGAATGTGTTGGTAATGTAGAGATCTTGTTCAGCACACAAGTTTAGCAGGTGTTCTCCATTTCTATTACAATCTGTGGTTGTGTCGCTGAATGGGCCAAGGTATCTCTCCCATGGTGATCTTCTTTTACCTACCCTACCATTAAAATCTCCCATTACTATGATGTCCTCTTTCTCTTTAACATTATTGATGGTGTCCGTAAGTCTCTCGTAAAAGTCTTCTTTTTCTTCTTCAGAATAACTATCGTTGCAAGGTGCATATATCTGAATAATCGTTGTAGTTTTACTTCCTTCTGTCAACTTGATTAAAATAATTCTTTCTGATATAAATTCTGTTCCTGTTATTAATTTTGCTGTCTCGGGATGAAGTATAAATCCGACACCATGTTTTGCCCTATCTTTAGTGGGTACTCCGCTCCATAATAAAACATAATTTTCATGTATTTCTTTTGTATTATATCCTTTCTTTCTTGTATCCGCAAGACCCATGACGTGTATATTTTTTTCTTTTCATGAAATCCACTATTTGTGGCTCTTTGTTGGCAATACCACATATGTTCCATGTGCCTATGTAAGTCGTTTTTTCTGTCTCGTCGTCCTTTAACGTTTCCAGTCCATTTTCCGTTTGGGGCTGTCCGTTTATTTATCTCCTTTCTAGTTTTCGTAGCAATAAAAAATCCACTGCCGGCTTGCTAGGCCAGTCGCAGTTTAAGGGAAAATCTGACCAGATGGACCCCATCCCATCTGACGAGCCAGAGCCTCGTTCGCCTGTGGCCTCACGGCCACAGTTTCCCGGTCTGCACCACTGGGAGGAGAGGTTGACTTATGTGTACTGTGGGTCATCGGCAGGCTACTAATTTTCACTTTTCACCTCTCCTAAGAGAAGCTAGCCGACCCCAACCCTGCTGGATGCAGAGCCAGGCACAGTCCACACCTTGCAGTTAAGTAGTACCTACTTAATAGTTGGGAGTCGCCGTGGCAGAGCGGCTAGACGCGCGCCGCGGATCGGAAGGTCGTTGGTTCGCTCCCTGGCGGAGACGGACTTTTCTTCAAAAATGACCTTGGCTCCCAGGTCGACCCAGCCTTGAGTGGGTACCGGGTGCAATCCCGGGAAGTAGAGGCAGCCGGCGTGATGCTGACCACATCACCCATCTTGTGTCGTTGGTCTATACAAATATAGGTCTAGCCCTATATACCCTATACGCCTAAAGGCGTGGAAAGGGTCCTTTACTTTTTTTTTTTTACTTAGTAGTTAGTTTCTCCTTGAAATTCCCAATAACTTAACAACTTTGTCGTGCACGTATATTGGTAGAGATAAATCTTTTTAACGCATAATGACAGACATAAATCACTAGCAACTTTTTTTTATTTCTTACACCAACTCACCTACTCCGTGCGGACCTCCACTGACAGATGACGGTAAGACTCCATCGTCGTTTCGGTCATGTCCAATCCTGGCGGCCATATTGTTTGTTTATCGTGAAGTACGCCGGCCAGGATTCACACAACTCCCCACATTGAAGACACCCAAAGAAAAGCCACCCTGAGGCTCAGACTTATGAAAATACTTACTACAAGCTGGGGTGCAGATACCAGCATTGTACGACAAGTATACACTGGATACGTACGACCAAAACTGGAGTATGGTATGGGAGCATACTCCACTGCAGCCAAATCAAACCTACACAAACTGGATAAAATACAAAACACTGGTCTCAGAATCATCACTGGAGGTATGAGAAGCACACCAGTTAATGAGCTGGAGGCAACCTGTGGCCTCCAGAGCTTGAGCCTTCGAATGGAAGAAAAGGTGCTTACCCTAACAGAAAAATGTAAACGCATGAACAACAACCCCATGCACAGAATAGCAAATAACTTAACAAAAAACCGACTGAAAAGACAAAGCTTTCACCATCTATCGAAACTGTACTTAATAAAAAAATACAGTGACATCCTTTCTAAAGATCCTTCAACATGGGAAATGATTCAGACATACAGCATAGACCTACAGTCTAACTATACAGTCACAACAACAATTCCAGGCATAGACAGAAAGACTGAAGAATGTGAACTTGTACTGCATGCAAAGACCCTTGAACATGACTACAACTGTTATCCAAGACCAGAAAGGACACACGTATACACCGATGGATCATTGGAGGGAGCAGACAAAAATGGAGGAGCTGGATCGGTCTTCATGCTGCAAGACGGGACCACAGTAGAAACGTCATGTGCCTCCGGAAGACACTCAACTGTGACTGCATGTCAGTCCTCCCGGCGACTCCACGAGACAACATGGAAAGAGGACTGACCCGTCAGCTAAACAAACTCACAGAAAACAATTAAATCGTTCTCCGGTGGATCCCGGCTCACTGCGGCAAACCAGGAAAATGAGTTAGCAGACTTGCAAAAAATGGAACAAAGGAGAAACAACAAGCCCATTCATTGTCATTACCAGAAATCAGAACATTTATCAAAGGAAAATGCAAGGGATTGTGGAGAGAACAAACTAACAGTAAATATCCACAAGGCCCCATCAGCAAAATCAACATAAAGCAATATACAACAATTTTCCGTCTACGAACAGGACACTGCAGGCTCAACTACCACATGCATAAAATAAAGATTGTACAGTCCCCACAGTGTGCCTGTCAGACAGGACCACGAACACCCCAGCACATTCTGCAGACCTGCCCACTCTACCTGCAACTTTGAAAAGACACCTGGCCTCAAGAGCAAAGTGTGCAGAGCAAGCTATAAGGAGCCATGCAGGACCTGCAGCTGACATGCGAGTTCATAGAGGCAACCCACCTGGGGGTCTGATCTAAGCATACGAAACCGAACGCAAAGTAGAAGAAGAAGAAGAGAACAGTCAAAACATCTAAAGCAGGAATTAGAACAAGAATTCTTCTTTTCTTTCAGCATTCAGGAGTCCTTGACGTTAACTGCTTTAGATATCACTCGGTTCATTTATCTCTCTAACCGGCCTTCTCTTTCCAGTTGGTGACTCCAAGTATTCTTGGTATTATCTCTCCACGTCATATTGGTCTGTCCATTGGTCTACGTCTATTCAGATTTTGTGTGTACTCAGTTTCTGTCTTTGAGATATCTGCTTCATGACTAAATAAAATTTAAGGAAGATCGGGTATCGACCTCAGGCTTCAGACCTTAACTTGGAGGACCAGAGTGTGTCTCTTTGGCTGTTGTTAACCCTTCGACCTTGCCGAGTTTCGAGGTTCTTCTGGTAGCTACACTAGCGCCGGCATAGTTCCAGTGATTGTTCATAAGATCGAACTCCCTCACCAATGCAAGGAAGAAAGACACAGTGGGGTAAGAATAAGAATTGTTATGGCAAAAGTGGCCTTCAGAAAGAGGCGATACCAATAAAAGTGTATTAAATGCAGTGATAAAAAGTGCGTTTAGATGCTAAATAGGTGGACAACGATACAAGTGGGAAAGCAACATCAAGAGATGGTGGACCCGCAGTCTGACAATGCTTACGATAGAAATGCTATTACCAAGACTATAGACAGTGTGTTAGAGATCCATTACGTGCAACACACGCGTGAAATAGTCAATCACAAGATTTATTTGAAAGTACCGTGGGCTATCCTCAGAATAACGGTCCTAAATTATTGAGGCGGAAAATATACCCTAACATAACCTCAGTCACGTATCAATTGTGCACTTCCGGGGACTATAACGCCACCGCAGAATTGCGAACTTCCGGCGACTACCGCCACCGCCGATGGAATCCCGCACGCCGGCGTGCATTGGAACTAAACTAGATGGTTAGGACTCACGAGCAAAGAAAATGAAGAAAGCTGCAGGAGATGCGGTAGCTGCTGCTCGTGAGTCCCAGCCATCTAGTTTAGCCCCAATACTTTCGGGGGGGGGGGGATTTCGGCGGTGGTGGAAGTCACCGGAAATGCGCAATCTAAAACGACGGAAGTGCGCAATTGACACGTGACTGAGGCTCTGTTAGGGATTTTTTCCGCTTTGATAATTTTAGGACCGGTATTCGGAGGATAGCCGAACACGTGTATGCATATAAAGTATGTGCACTTAGACAATAAGCAGATCAGCTGAAAAGTATTTAATCTCTTCAAGGACGTGGGTATTTTTTTTTTTAAAAAGATTGCGAAGAATATCATGGAATGCTAGAAAAACCAATATGGCAACTCTCCTCGGGACAGACGAGAGTCGTAAAATAATGAGAAAATTATTATTGTTGTTCTGTTTGTTATTTCACATAAACTTGGTACAAATAAATGAATGTAATCTGTGGTGCCGTCCCATTTTAGGCGAATTCTGACCGTATTTCATGGGTGTGGTTTCAAGCTATATGATTTGTTCCCTTGCTGCTTAAGCCGTGAAACGTCGCAACTGCAGTAGCTTGGGTTAACAATGCCATACTAGATTTATGTATTGTCTCTCTTACACCATCCGCCCATGCCTTTCTTTGTTGGCCTCTTGCTTTGTAGCCTGCCGTTCTCATATAGTACGCTCTAGCTGATTTTGTTCTATTCTGACCAGATAACCAAACATTTGATTTTTTTATGTTCCATGAAATCATTTAACCGTACTATGCCTACCATTGTTCTTAGTTTCCATTGATGACTATCTCTTCTTGTTCCTCCCGCCGCATTTCTTATGATCTCATCTCTCACGGTGTAATTTCTCGTTTATGTTTTTCTAGGACATGCCATGACTGATATTTATAGTATAAAGTTGGATACAAATAGAATATTTATCAGCAATTTTTTTTTTTTTTTTTTAAATAAACATATTGTTATTTTGATGACTCAAAAGTGGTGCTATTTAGTAATTAATGTTGTTGGCCTTCTGTATTCTGTTTTTGGTTTTTTCTGTCTGACCCTCCATCTCAGTGAATACATTGCCTGGGTACTTAAACTACTTAGCTTGTTACAGTGTCTCTCCTTCAACGGTGATGACATGTTGAACTGGTATTCTATTTACTGTCTCTCCTTCAAAGGTGATGACATGTTGAACTGGTATTCTATTTACTGTCTCTCCTTCAAAGGTGATGACATGTTCAACTGGTATTCTATTTACTGTCTCTCCTTCAACGGTGATGACATGTTGAACTGGTATTCTATTTACTGTCTCTCCTTCAAAGGTGATGACATGTTCAACTGGTATTCTATTTACTGTCTCTCCTTCAAAGGTGATGACATGTTCAACTGGTATTCTATTTACTGTCTCTCCTTCAACACGGGTGAGGAGTATTGTCTGTATTTTTTTTTCACGGGGGCACACAGGTGTATTTGGAAATGAACGGCCGGACAGACTGGCTGACTCTGCACAACTTGGTGGAATACTGATGCATAATTAGGCAGACGTGGTTAGTGCCTTGTGGGAGAGCGTGTACAGTTCGGCGGAGCAGACGAATCACCACAGTCTGGTGAGATTGATGCAAAAAGGTGGGGGGGGGGAGGGGTGACGAAAGGTTCTGGCAGATGCTCGAGGCTCATAGGATGGGCAAGACGGACGTTTAATCAGAATGCTGCTGCCACCATTAGTATCGGAACTCTTCGCTTGATGCTGAAGATGGGGACGGATAGCTTATGGGAATTCCCCGAGTGATGTGATGTTATGAGTAAGATTATCTTCACAGCACTCTGGACCCATCCAAATGGGTTCAGATTCCCCTCTCAACATATTCATCAGCGTCGTGCGGTTAATAGTACCAGTCCTATGTTGGTTAACAAGACTTCGTGTGCATCTGGTGTGCCTCTCATGCTTGGCTGTGCCGATCTTTACTCACAAATCGCGTATACTTAGCAGTGATGTGGACACGGTGCTTTCAAAATCTTCAGAACGTCCTGTCTCTTTAAGGATATGACAATGTCTGCGTGATCCATGGGCTGACCATCTTCAATTAATGCAGCATCTGCCAGTCTATCAGCTCTCCACATTACCAACAACGCCTGTATGTCTTGTGGCGAATATGAAGTTAACTGCACACACGTCAGAATTTTGCAACGACTCAAACCATTGTCTGCGTAACCATCCTGCCTCGACCGGCCGGATCATGCTCAAAGAATCACTCAGCACACACACGCGGGAATAGTCAAGTGAACCCAGCCACATGAAAGCCTGTGTCACCGCCATCACCTTCATCGTCATACTGCTTGTGGTCATGGAGAAGGCACCGCTGACTTCTGGAACTTTTCTGCCTGAAGAGCGAGCTGTAAATGTCCGTGCACTCTTATGTCCTCGTACATAATGACAGCTATCAGGTACACAGCTGTACGATAGATGTACATAATGTCAACTGTCAGGTACATAGCTGTACGATAGATGTACATAATGTCAACTATCAGGTACATAGCTGTACGATAGATGTACATAATGTCAACTATCAGGTACATAGCTGTACGATAGATGTACATATTGACAACTATCAGGTACATAGCTGTACGACAGATGTACATAATGTCA